ATTTTTCAATAAAGTCTTGCAAATTAATGTTCTAAATGGTACATGATGATGAAAAATTACATGTTCTGGGAACCAAAAACAAAATCTCTGTTGTAAACGCTTGACACTTTGCGCTCGGATCTCCTCGCGCCTGTCCCCCTAGTGCGGCATGCCCCCGGCTTCCTCAGTGTTTTCCGTTGGCCAACCGCAGCCGGCAGCGGGCAACATCTGGCGAAAGGGAAAAGATTAATTTCTGACAGCGCGGGAGCGTCCCCAAAGGCCTTCATCCGACCAACTACAAAGCGGATTCGATGGCGGCGAAATGGGTTTAACATCAAGAAGTCGAAGAGAGATATACCCTATAAGACACCCAAGCCCTATACCCTAAAAGAGAATAAGGAACTAAAAACCCTTTCCACCTTTCCATTGAACCATTCTTTGATTATTGAATCTTTATATTAAAAATCCCTTTTTGGATCCTTCGGGTATACCCCAAACAACATATAACATAGGCGAATAATTATTTATTCCACTGTTGATGGATGCAACATCACTGTCGATGTTGGAGCGAGAGTTTTCCACGCCGCGCTTTTCACGGTCGTATCCATCAATCCGCCGTAGCCGTAGCGTAACACAATATGCCATATAAAGTCAGATGGGAACACAACAGATACTATGCATGTCAGTGTGTATCTCCCTGGATTTGGCTTAGTGCAGGCGACAATACGTCTCTAGAACTAATCATGAGACCCATAAAATATCGCCTTGAAATTGAATTCCTTCATTTCGGGACTTAGTACCACTTTCGGGGCATTGATGCTTGGGTTACTCTTTAGTACTTCATTATGGACGCACTAACGATGTTGTTTTAATGATCTCAGAACTCGACAAAAATCCACTTGACAAAATCCACAAGAAGCAGGCAATACTTGCCCTTTTGTTTCAAGTGCCAAGTGCCAAAAGGAGGGGAGCAAAGGGCAGTCCCCGAAGGGTAACACATATTCCATATACAACAGGGTCCTATACTATATATTTATATACTGGCAGGCTATATATACACGGCATCCTCGATGTGAGGGCCTGCACTTTTTGCACAGACACTTTATGGCTGGCGGGATATGTGTGAAAAAGACCATTGGATGTCGGGCATATCTTTGGAGCCTTGTTATTCTCGAGATCCGAAGGGAAAGAGTCGAGCTGTTGATGGCCAGGGACTATAAAAATTGTTAGAGCAGAAATTCAAGTAGCCATGAAATGCTATTGAGAGTTCCTGCTGACAGATATGAATTATGTTCAACAGGTAACAAAACATTCAAATTATGGAACTGCTGATGGGGAGAAGTGCTTCAAAGTTGTCTGTGAACCCCTAGTTAACCCCTAGTCTATAAGTGCACCTGATTATAAAGAAATGTCTCTGATATCAACCTCAAGTGAATACTTATCGTGATTCATCTGTAATTGGCTTCGGGTTAAAGCTCGACTAACAACCCAGTTTATAAAAGCTCATGGAATAAGTAGTACTTCTATGCCAGTTAGAACCTAGTCAAGTTAGTTTTTTTGTCATAAAATAAATACTTAGACCTATTATAATGACTTTAACTAATCAAGAGGTTTTAGTATAATTTTGTGATTATTTTTGGAATATAAAATTTGTCTCTCAGAGAGCCCAAATATTTTCAGACGTCGTTCAAAGTCGAAACCCAACAGAGTTGCAACACCCAATTGACCCACTTCCGCTCGCTGAAACCCCCTGATTGAAAGCCCCTGGGCTAGCTGTTTAGCTAGCTCTTTATAGAGTCTACGAATAGTATCTCCTTCTCAGTACCTCGGACTGCTTATAACAATTTAGCGGAGTCATGGCAAGTGATCTGAGCCAAAGAAATCAACATGCAAAATGATATATAATAAACGGTTTGCGTTGCACTTGTTCGTGGCGGAGTTATAAAGGCGCAAGGGGTGGGGGTAACGCATCAATGGTTTATGCAAGAGTGTGTGTGAGTCTACTGAAAGTAATATTTATTAACTAACTAAATAAATAACATAAATGTTTATAATTCATCTACAAACTAGCAAAGTGAATGGAAATTTTAAACAACTAAACTTTTTCCACTTGTTTTATGTTTTTCAATTAATCATCTCAAGTACGAAAATTGTTCTCAGTGCATTTGAAGAAAGAAATGCGTTGCAAAGAATCCGCAGACAGTAGCCGAGGGCAACAGCCACAAAGAGAGTCCGAAAGTAAGACACGTGTTTTGAATTAAACGCCAGCTTGCCTCCTCGCCGTCTTCCAGCCGCCAATTCTCCCTGCAACTCCACCGACCACCCACCTCCCTTGGAGACCCAAACCCCTCCCCAGCATTTGAGCCACATTCTTGACACTGCGTGGTTGTTGACATGTTAATGGCCACAGAGGAAGCTCGTTTGGCGAGAAGGAGCCAACCAAAAACAATGCACATGTTGCATGTTGCATGTGCGGCATAATCACGTGCAAACACAGAAATCAGAATTGCAACTGACAATTTTCAGTCCGACAACAATGCAAAACCCACACACTTAACTGGGCTCAGGTGCTGGATGTGCTGCCCTGGGTGGTGGTGGTGAGTATCTGTGTGAGCTGGCGACCTGTTGCTGCCGGCGTTGCCGTCGACAGAGCTTGAGCAGTGGCAGCGGCCGAGGCAGAGGCGGTTAGCTTTTTGGGCGCAGTTGATGAACGAAGCTGTTGGCCGAAAGACGCGACCGGCTTAAACTCCGAACCCAGCTCAGACATAACTCCTACTCAAGAAATCCAAAAAAGTGAGCACCTTTAGAAGATACAAAGCCCTACCATTAGTGTCTGAAAGATAAGATTTGTGTGGAATTTGTAAAACGGAAAAATAATGGCCTAAAATTACAGCTCCCAGTTTTAATTAAGTTATAAGTGATTTATATTCTATACAGTGCGTGCAACAGTCCATCAAGTTAATCAAGTGCGCTGCAATTTTAGCCACGATTTAAGCTCATCATTTTTATGATCGCGGTTTCTTTATCCGAAATCTTAATCCCATGAAAGATTCCAGCTTGGGATGTCGGAGACCCACAAAAGGCAAAGAAATTAAACAAAAGAAAGGAGAAGAAGATTTCAGTGAAAGTGATGAAGCGTCGCAAACATCCGCATCTCTCGGATGCTTCTCTTAATGATGTCTGCCGATCACATGTGCATACATATGTATATGTATGCCACACAAAAAAATATTTAAAAAATACAACAAAAAAACAATAGCAATAACAATAACAATAACAAGAAACACAAAGGAAAAACAATAACAATAATAGTCATTTTAAATGCTTGCATGGGCAAAATGTTGTAAAAAATAATTTACAACCCGAGGACTGGAATTTAAGTTTTGAGTCAGCCTGGGGGCTGTTTGAGATGTTTATGCGCTGGCCAAGTTGATGAACAAGACAAACTGTTTTCCCAACCTCAAAGCCAAAGAGCCGACAACAAGATTTCATTAAGACTCACTTCTATTACTACTTATTTCCTATTTAAATGCAGGAACCGTCCTTAATCTCCACCCAACTTCCTCATTAATAAACGTGGCTTAATTGTCTTGGGTATAAAATAAGTTTACCATACATTAACGGGTTTATGGCCAGCAATGACTACACTTAACGTTGGCCATTCGTCGTGCATTAACAAAACGAACCGCAGCGGACCCAAATCTCACCTTGGGGCCTTACACGAAAACACACACGATCTCGGCCAGCAGGTGAACTCAAAAGCGTTGCGGCGCAGCATCCCAAGCAGCAAGCCGAAGTCAAAAAAGGCAATTTTTCTTGTTCATCTTGTGTCACCTGGGCTCTGCGCCACAATTGCAAGTTCCCCACATCGTTACCTCTTGTTTTTCTCCAGCATTTCGCCTTTTCTCTGTTGGCAGTCGCCTAATTACCTATAATTTCGCTCCGAAAGTGCACACCGAAAAAAAAAAATGGTCGAAATTATGCGAGTGGCTTTTTGTTAAGGTTGATTGGAAAGTAATTTTTAATTTATGGCTCTCATGAGATGAGAAACACTTAATTTCTTCAGATCTCTTATCGAATCTCTTTCATTAACTATTTTTTTTTAGCTGTGCCACCAACCACGATCCACAATAAAAACCACCTGAAGCGACAACCGACTTAATTGCCGACCAAACCGAGCTAAGCTGCTAATCAAACTCCGCTTAGCAGGCACTGTAGATGCCCTATTAAATCCAAAATAAACAGTATGTGCACCGCTGGTGCTGCTACCTCGACGGATGGCGGGGCGGATGGTGGTGCTGCCGCCCCAAGTTCGACGGCCTTGAACTCCGCACAGGTAAATACCACACTGACAGAGATGACTCGCTCGAATGTGGCCAACATACATATTTTTGGTACGCGCTCGATTGGCTTTGTCAGTTGTTGTTGCTCCGGGGGGATCTACCCCACCTCTGGCGATCCCCATCATGGAGTTAAACCTTATCTGACAACAAATAATACTCACGTCGCCACACAAACAAAACATACAACTACGAGCAGCAAAAAAAGCCCAAACCAGTTTACTTTTGGCCACTTGATTTTAACCGGGACTAGGTCTGGGTCTCGAGTATTATGCGATCGGTCATCTGGCCAGATCTGGCTTTTAATCGGTCTTCCAATAAAAGATTTACGCTCTTATCTTATGAATTTTCGCGATAAAAGATTTAAAGTAGTTTGAAAGTCAAGATCAGGGTGAAGTTATAAAGAAGTATAGAATGCCGACTGAAAATGAATGTTTTAACAGTCAAGATCAAGGCTGATACTTTTGGCTAATGGGGTAATTATAATTAGAAATCTTATAAAAGAATTACGGAGCAGAGTTACTTACTTCCAAGTTTGTTTATTAAATCAGACTTAGCCTTAAGTTTTTGGTAGACTAATGGAGTGCAAATAAAGTTAAAATAGTGCCAAAACTTCAGTCGAATTCTTACCAAGTTTACAAAATTTTTGTTATAATACTTCTCCGAACCAACTGTCAGTTAAATACGAAAAAAAAAATCAAACAAACAGAGCCAACCAAGCGCAAAGGGTCAAAAGAGCTGAGCAAAGATTTGCGTAACATGATGACAGGCACCGACAGTGATCCGTTGGTGGAGGATGGCGGCCTAATGCCCACCCAGCAGCGACTGGCCCTCTGGCACAAGGTAGGCGGAAGGTACCTCCCTCTAATCAACCTGTACATCCCCGATATCGCCACGGTTAGATCGTGTTCTTTATGCTGGGACTGATCTCGGCTCTGATCATCTGCGTTCTGATCCACTTGTCCAACCGGTTGTCAGCGGATGCCGAGCAGAAGGCGCTCCAGCACTTCCACGAGATCTCCTCCGGACGTACTGGCCGTCGTTTCGGCCACTAGTCCACATCTACCCAAACTTGTATATATTTTTGTTGTTGGTTATGTTTGTTTTCTCTATTTTGGTTTTTGTTTGCAAATTGCTTAAATAAAGTGCCAATTGATCAAATGCGGAATAAGTTATGCGTCTGTTGGCGTTAGAGTGAAAATTAAACAACAAGCAATTAGCGATTCACTTAGATCAGGAAAAGCTTTGAATCAACTTCACCGGGAGGGTTCAGGGAAAAAGGTTCATACTCGCTGTCAGTTGAATTGGCCAAGCACACGAGGCGTATGAGTGATGCAAGCAACTCTTTTCCTTAAATATTTGCTCTGCCAAGCCTCTCTTGATTATCTGGCTACTTTATGTTAATACTTCAAGGAGTAAAATATTTCCTTTTTAGGTAACGATTGCGATAGACCCATCGGAAGACCTCAAACCCCCAAAGCAGACCAATTGGAGAAGAGTTCTTCAATGGATTCTGGCACCCGCCCTCTCAGCAGCCACCGCCTTGGTGTTCTATTACCAGAGTCCTTGGTACGGCTTGGCCTCCATCTATGTCAGCCTGATGGCCAGTCTTCTGGTGCGACCAGGATGGCGGTGGTTCTACATAGCAGCAGTAACCACTCCCAGGGATACAATGTAAGAGAAACAGATCCCCCCAATGATATTCTTTTTAAAACTACTCCTTTTTAGAGCCCTTATTTCCTATATTCGTGTCCTGGTGTTCGTGAAGCGGCAGGAAAGGAAGAACTTGAACATCGGAGACATCTTCGAGGCGAATGTGGCCAAGCAGCCGGACAAACTGGCCATCGTCAGTGAGTCCCAGCAGTGGACCTTCCGGCAGGTGAATGAGCACGCCAACCGAGTCGCGAATGTGTTTCACAGCCACGGCTACAAGAAGGGCGATGTGGTGGGTCTGCTGATGGAGAACCGCGCCGAATTCGTGGCCACCTGGCTGGGACTCTCCAAGATCGGAGTGATCACTCCGCTGATAAACACAAATCTCAGAGGAGCATCGCTGCAGCACAGCATCACTGTGGGTCAGTGCACAGCTCTTATTTATGGAGCCAACTTCAGATCAGCGGTGATGGACATAGCCAAGGACCTGCCTGCCCATGTGGGATTGTATCAGTTCAACGATGAGGCTACCCAGGACGTGGTGGCTTCCGAGGGCCTTAGCCAGGGACTGGCCCAGCAACTGAATGGTCTCCTGGACACAGCTGCCAAGGACAAGGTGGCAGCTGGAGCTTCTCGAGCAGACCATCAGGACAAGCTTGTGTACATCTACACCTCGGGAACCACGGGATTGCCCAAGGCAGCAGTCATCACCCATTCACGGTTGGTTATGGACTTTATTTTCCTTTGGATTTTCATTGATTTAGTTTTTTAGTTACTTCTTCATCGCTGCTGGAATCCACTACGCCCTGGGCTTCAAGGATGAGGATGTCTTTTATACTCCCTTGCCTCTTTATCACACGGCTGGCGGAGTGATGAGTATGGGTCAGGCCTTGCTCTTTGGCTCCACGGTGGTTATCCGGAAGAAGTTTAGTGCATCGGGATACTTTGCAGACTGCGCTCGCTTCCAGTGCACGGTAGGATAGTTTCTTAAATCTTCTCTGGATCTTCTGTGATAGATTATAATTCTTCCCCAGATTGCCCAGTATATTGGCGAGATGGCCCGCTACATCCTGGCCACGCCGGCTGCTCCCCACGATAGGAAGCACCAGGTGCGAATGGTATTTGGTAATGGACTTCGTCCCCAGATTTGGCCTCAGTTCGTGGAACGCTTCGGCATTGCCAAGGTGGGAGAGTTCTACGGCGCCACCGAGGGCAACGCCAACATCATGAACAACGATAGCACAGTGGGTGCCATCGGCTTCATATCCCGGATCCTGCCGCAGATCTATCCCATCTCGATCATCAAGGCAGATCCCCACACTGGCGAACCGCTGAGGAATGAGAAGGGTCTCTGCGAGCGGTGCGGCGTCAACGAGCCCGGAGTCTTCATAGGCAAGATTGTGAAGGGCAACCCCTGCCGAGAGTTCCTGGGCTATGTGGACCAGAAGGCCTCCACCAAAAAGGTGGTACGCGATGTCTTCTCGAAAGGGGACATGGCCTTCATCTCGGGCGATCTGCTGATAGCTGACGAGAGGGGCTATCTCTTCTTCCGGGACCGCACCGGGGACACCTTCCGCTGGAAAGGCGAGAACGTGTCAACCAGCGAGGTGGAGGCACAACTCAGTAACTTGGCTGGCTACAAGGATGTCATCGTATATGGCGTCAGCATTCCACACACCGAGGGAAGAGCCGGCATGGCGGCCATCTATGATCCCACACGGGAGGTGAAGGTCAGCCATCTGGCCGAGGAGCTGGCCAAAGCGCTACCCAGCTATGCAAGGCCACAGTTCCTGAGATTCCTGCGAAAGATTGACCTTACCGGCACATTCAAGCTCCGCAAGGTGGAGCTGCAACAGCAGGGCTTCAACCCAGAGGTCATCGAGGACGAGCTCTTCTACGCTCAGGCGGATGGAACGTATCTGCCGTTGACTTCCTCCATTTACGAGAGAATCCAGAGAAACGAGCTGCGATTCTAGAAGATAATGCTTGAGCCAGAGAATGTGCCCAATTTAGAAAAATGGATATTGGTTGAGTCCCATCCGAATTTCATCTAGGCTTACATTCGGTAATATTGTTGCTAGAACAATTAAATGTTAAATGTATAAAATAAAGACTAAGGATTTTTTCTACGAATATTTTTATAGTGTTTTATTGTGCTAGTTTTAAATAATATTGAATATTGGAAACTTACAATTGAAAGATTACCTTTTGGTCACCCTTTTTGATAGCAAATTGATTAAAAAACTAATATTCCTATTGCCACATGACCGTAACAACAGGTACGTAAAAATACTTTCAGCAGTCTGTTAGGCAGGAGAGGCTGCCCCTCAATCCTTTGGAGGCACATTCTTGTTGAGCTCGGCCTTCTTCTTTTGCTCCATACGCTGCTCCACCTGGTCCAGTCTTTCGCTCATGGACTCCAGGGAACTTAGCAGTCCCGCCTGTATCTCGCCATACCGCTTCATGGCCAGCACCAGGCTCTCCTCGATGAGCTCGCTCTGCTGGGCGTACTCCCCATTGTTCTGAGTGATCTGCTTTAGCTGGTCCAAGCACTCGCTGGGAATGCTGCGGAAGTACTCGGCTCCCAGGGCAGGCTCCAGTTGCTTTATCCTGTCCAGCTGCTCGGCTTGCGTGTGGAGTTCGGGTGCCACGGCATGCAGGTAGACCTCCTTGGACCGCACCTGCTGTTGCTCTTCCAGGAAGTTAGGATCCAAGTATTTCTCCAGTTCAGAAGCTCGCTTGACGCAATTTTGGAGAGGGGCACTTCCTGTGGTGGCTTCGCCCAAAAGTGCGTGAGCTGAGCAAAGGGCGTCCACTACGCCTTCACCGGCGTCAGACTCAGGGACAGGACCCAGGACCCTCGTCAGGGCATCGATGCGCTTCTCCAGGATGTCTAGGGCCTCCATAATTTGTATATTGTCCTAGTTTCTCTTTATTTTGATTTATGCAAGGGAATGATGTCAGTCTGGTAATGGTCCAAAAAATACCAAAACGCGTTTTGAAACACTGGTTTCTGTAGAGTGACCACCGTTACCAAAATATTTAACCCTTCAGCGACAATGTAGATTTTTTTTAAATCTCAGAATATAAAAAGGTAAAGCTTTAAATGAAAAAACATAATTTGTAATGTACGAACTTGAAAAATTTTTTTCAGAATAAACAAATATCGTTAAATATCAATATTACGATTTATATTTACATAGAAATGTACAATTACAGCTTAAAGTTCTCCAGGGATAGTTGCTCTGCTTCCTTGTTAATCTGAGCCACACTGTCCTCGGAGATGATGCGCACATCAGCTTCGGGATCATCTCCCGTAGAGTCATCCAGCACGCATAGAAGCCCATCGTTCTCTATGTATGGGAAGAAGAACTCCGGCTTGTCCCAGCACGATCGGTTGCCAATCCCACAGTGCAACTCCTGGGTCATATGCTCAGTCAGTAAATCCAGCTCATCGAACTGGAGATCACAGGATGCGCAGCGGAGCATGCACAGTTGCCGGCGCAAGTAATTTACCACCTTGACGCGCTGGTAAAAGTTTAAAGAGCTGGTCGCCTGGTCGAAATCCATGCGGTGTTCGGCAATCATGTGCTCTTTGAGGGCGGAAAAGGACTCTCCGAGATGCGGACAAAATAGGCACTTGATGGAGCTGGGTTCGCCATCCGCCGCCCAATCAGACCAGTCCGAATCTTGCTCCCCGTCCGAGTCCGGCCTGGCAAAGTGTTTGTCGAAGTCCACGCTGCCAGTTTCCAAGTCCACGGAAGAAGATGGTTGTCTTTGCTGTTGGCGGGGCTTCTGTTTTCGCGACGTTAGAGCTGCGGAACTGCGGTTGTAGTTGACAAGGAAATACTTGTCGTACTCTCTTCGGTTGGGATTTATCCGTTTGTGTCCCTTTTTCCTCATGTGCTCCTTGAGCGTGGGCCGATCCTTGAAGATCTTTTCGCAGTACAGACACACCAAATTGTTCAGGTTTTCCTCTAACTGGTCCAAGAGTTCATCCACATATACCAGCTTTTCCGGCTTGCCCACCAGCAGAAAGTGTTTATCAAAAAGGTGGTCTAGGTAGTCTGCTCTCAATCCTTTTATCACAGTCCGGCAGAACAGGCACTCCTTGGAAAATGTCCTGTCTGTCAGCTCGAACTGGTGACGCTCGAGAGCTTCACTTAAGCGTTTTTGTCTAAGACGTCGCCGTAACTCAAAGTCCTGGGGCAGGATATCGCACAGTAAGTAGTATTTCTCGTTCTTGGAATACTTTCCATCTGGCAGCTGGTCCAGGAACATGGTAGTGCAATATTGTTCGAATTCATGGTCTGAAAATAGTCATGGGCTTAAGTAAAGACTCAGATAATTATTCCAAATATACCTACCTTGAAACTCTTTTCTCCAGTACTGCAGATAATCCTCTATAAGGGCAATGTCCTCTACATCAGCTATCACTAGGCGGTGCTCCATATAAAGGTGGGCCAGGCAGTCGTCTTTGTCTGCCGGGAATATGTAGACCTTGTCGCATTTTAAGCACTTGATGGCCGTGTTAGCCGAGGGCTTAAGCTTTGGACTGGCTTTGATCTCCACCGCAGGCAGATCCTCTCCAGCAACAGCCACCTCGTGCTCCATTTGTTATTATTTATTTATTTACACTCCCACAGCTGCGCTACAACCCTGTCTCACATATGTACATCAAAGGTTATCGATAAATCTATCGGCATCACTGGTAACAGTTGTGGTTGGGGGCGGAATTGAATTTATTTTTCCAAACAAAGTAAACACGGGAGCACGTCGCCAGCGTAAGTTGCCCGCGATCGATTGTGTCCGTGTCCAGCCCCAAGCCCAATCATCAATATCCGCACCACATACCTCCACCCGAAGCCCCGAATTCCCCGCACACACGCACTCTGCAAAGAAACGAATCTGAGCAGTCCGAAGACACAAAATTTATCAATTTAACTCAAATTGAGACTCGTCTGCATCGCAGCGGGTACAAAGTTCGATCCGTGTGCAGTGGCCAGTATTCGTATGGGTACTGCGTATGTGTATGGTGTACCCAGCCCAGTGTGCGTGTGTGCGGGACTGCAGAATTGGAACCCACATGAATACGAATACGAATTGTGAATTTTGCAGTCTCTCTGTCCAACCGCTTTTGTGCCAGTAGCACCTCTGTTAAAAGTCGAGTCAATCGTCAAAAATCGAAACGCACCCACGATGGCTGCCCACTTCTTTCGCACGGCATTTTACGCAACGGCGGGGAGAAAATCGATGAGCCTACCCTTCGCCGCCGGCCGGACAGCCGCAACTCTGGCCGTGGGCCTGTCCTTTGGTGGTAATTGTGCCTCTCTCATATGCAGTCTGCTTCCGTTTATTTATAATTGTCTTCGCTTACCGCAACCCCCAAACGCCCATCTCATGCAGCACAAAATAGCCGGGGCACCGTACCGTACGAGAATGTCTACGCCGATAGCTTCTTCGGTGGCTGCCAGACCCAGGGACTGCTCCAGCGCCCGCTGGCGGAGTATCGGGAGATCCAGCGCCCCCTGGTCCGGAACTTTGCTAGCCTGCAAGCCAACCGTCCGCAGGAGCAGCCGGGTCAACATGTAAGCATAACACCAGACTCTCCGTACTGATTTCAGGGGGTATAGCTTATCGCCCAGCATCAAGAGTAAACCGAGAAACCTTTGCACCCCATCCCAGTGCAAGGGCTTGAAAGTATCCCATTGAACACGTAAACTCACTTAAAAATATGAAAGTAATAGTCGTACATTTTCACAAAATGATGGTAGAATATATTTTTTAATGACTTTTAAATACGTTACAACTTAATGATTATTTTCTTAAAGCATTTCTTTATGCGATTTTATCTGAACAAAGTCCAGCGCACCTTATCTATTGATATACCCTTAAACCCATTTAAATAGCATGTCTCTTGATCTGTGATTGAACTTTCGTAAAAGGTTTCTTGTTATGCAGGTTTCATTTTCGTCTTTTTTTTATTTATTTGTGCACTTTGTGACTTTTTGCATGACTGAATAAATTGTATTTCTTGTACTTTGAACCCGGCAAATGGTTTCGGCTCCCTATCTCCTACCACCTCTCTCCTCTTTCCAATAATTGGTTCAGATTAGCTTCCCTTCTGTATACTTATTCTAAGTATTTTAAAACATATTTACATTTTTTAATGACCTGCAATTAGTAGCGACACATTAAACGCTTGAACTAACCAGAAAATTTTATGGTTGTTGGGGTATTGATATCGTTGGTACCATATGTTGGAGTGCAGCTGAATATTTTTGAAACCACCCTCGCGTTGAGATCGCTCAATTGCTATATAGCTTTCCATGTTCAAATCATAATGGCTCCCAGAGTCTCTCGGGTTCTCTCTGGATTCCAGACGTCAAGCTGATTCTGTCTGAATCTAATTTTTGAAAGGGTATATCCAGGTATGAGATTCTTTGGTATTTTTTTTTAGAATAATTTCAAATTTTTTGAGGGTAGAAGGCCTTCATTAAGGAACTTTAAACTCAATTTGAGTTAAATTTTTATCATAATCCGTCTCATAACCAACAGACTCTGCTATCTTTATCCAGAAGGGGTCCGAGGCTTCCAGTGCCGCAATGTAATTTAAACCAATGCCGCAAAATATGAATAGAAACACACATCCCACTACACCCACCGGGCACACACACACCATGACCACCAGCTGAAATAACTATTTTCTCCGAGGGAATGTAAGCTCAGCCCAATTCCGCTCAACTATCCACGATCGTTCCACTGGATACGTGGATATATAGTCCGTACTGTGGATCAGTCAGTCTATCACAGTAGTTGCACCTGCCTCTATCATTTATTCCAATATGGACTTCCTTATTGAGATTACGCTGCTGGTCATATTGGCGGTTATATTGCTGAAAATTTATCACCGGGCGAAACGTGTGAGTGGCCTTGAACCCCCCGCTCAAGTTCAAAGTGTCATGTCCCAGTGAAAGTATCTCTCGGAGATTCAATTTATCTTTGTCTGGGTTGAGTTATTTTTGTTCAAATAGTTAGGTCAGAATGTGATTTGGCTGGTCCTTCAGTAATCTAAATTGCAACTGCTTATCGTTCGATTTTGCGCTGGGCTATCTTCCGATCCATGGTGCTATCAGGTGGCTTAGCTTCCCGACAATGTAGAAAAAAGAACCTAAAACCTTTGCACCACCTTCATTTAGTATTGGGCCTTCTGGCGAACCTGTCGCCAACTCGAAACAATTGTTTGATTATTCGCCACAGCCAAACGGTATTTAGTCTAATTAAACACATTTATGACTACAAGTATTTGATCAAGTTTATAATAAGTGTAAAGTGATCGTGCAACCCAATATATCGTTCTGAAACACATATGGTTTCTCAAATCGCACGCATACCTGCAGTAATCTAATCAGGAACTAGCGCTTATCAACACGTTTTCAGTGGCTCTCTCTCAAGGTCACCAGCTGTTTCGTGGATAAATCAGAACCTTATCAAGTGTGCCCCATAATTTGCATGGATTTCGAATTCTAACCCACCTGTCGTCAGACTCTAACCTATCAGGCGATGCCAAGTACTTTCCTAATCTAATCGCCAAGCGATTGATTTCCCGACTGGACCTATCCAAACCAAACGAATTACTTTATAAAACCGTAAAGGTCTAGACGGCTTCCATATTTGTGACGAGCCATTAAAAAATACTTTAGCTTAAATAATGTAAATTAATCTACTTGTTTGCTTGTCGTTCGTTTAACCCCACTAATCATGTCATTTGAAATGCATTCCGAGAATCCACGATAATGTATTCATTTCAAACACAGAGCGCCATGGCCCCGTTGAAGAATCGCCGGCAGATATCCTCGCAGGATATCACCAAGAACATGACGCTGTACACCAACAACAAGACCCCTGTGGAGGTGGATCCCAAGACTTTGGCCTTCAAGAAGCCAACGGGCAACCCACTGGTTCTGATGATGGCCTGGCTAATGGCCAAGCAGAAGCACCTGAAGAAGTACGCCCAGATCTACACGGAGATGGGCTTCGATGTGATGGTGGTGCACATCACACCCTGGCAGCTATTGTGGCCTGTTAAAGGAACTCAGGTTGGTTTTCCTTAGTTAGTATCTAGTCACTCAGTAACTAACAGTTTATCTTAAATCCATCCAGGTGGTTGCTGCAGAGACTCTTCGTTTTCTGGAAAACAACCAGTCCTACGAGCCGATCGTAATGCATGGCTTTTCTGTGGGCGCCTACCAGCTGGGCGAGATCATGTTGCAGATGTCTCGCGACATGGATAGATACGGACCCATCTTGGACCGCTTTGTCTGTCAGGTTTGGGATAGTGCCGCCGACATCACCGAGATTCCGGTGGGTGTGCCCAAGTCGATTTTCCCCAAGAACGAACGCATGCAGAGTGCTCTGAGGAACTACACCCTGTACCACCTGAAGACATTCCACAACCAGGCCACTATCCACTACATGCGCTCCAGTCAGATGTTCCACTCGACCCTGGTGAAGGCTCCGGCGCTGTTCTTTGTCTCGGACAACGATCCGATCGGTCCGCCATCCTCCAACCGTGCTGTCAGCGACAATTGGGAGCGTGCCAACATCAAGGTAACGTTCAAGCAATGGGAACGCTCCCAGCACGCTGCCCACTACATGCGCCACCGCGAAGAGTATCTGCAGATGCTTTTCCAGCATTTGGAAGCCTGCGGCGTTCTGGAGGCCATCGGCGTGCCCAAGCGCGCCAAGTTGTAGACTCCCCTAGGCGAGGAGCCGCTGAATTTGGTGATATAAATTTATTCAAGAATCAATGCGATTATGATTTTATCCTAGCTGCTAAGACCTAAAAGTTTAACGAAAAAATGTCCTCTACGTATGAGTAAATGATTATGATCTGTGTGTCTTTTGCGAGGCAGAATCTTCAGGCACCCGCTCTGGAGAATTCGTAGGCTAAGCTTAATGTCGAATTGTATCGAAAAAGAGAAAAATGCTCTATGCTCTATATTGTTATATTATGAGATCGCTACAGAACGGCTAAATAAAGTAAATTAAAAATTAAAATAAAAAAGTAAAATTAAAAATTGTGCAAAAAAGCCCTATCGCTGCGGACAGGATTCGAACCTGTGCGGGTAGAACCCAATGGATTTCAAGTCCATCTCCTTAACCGCTCGGACACCGCAGCTTGTGGAACTGCTGCGTCAAATGGTTATGTAATGCGAAGGGAGAGAACATTACAGTGGATGTGGCAATATAGAAAAAGAGTCACTTAATTTTTAACTAAAAATTAAAAACTATAAGATTTTCATTAGCATATTTTATAGACAACATCATTTAGGCAAGTATTTATTTTTTAAAAATTCTATTTTGTAAGAATTGTTCTAAGAATAATATCCGGGGAAACATTATTTTAAGTTTAAGAGCTTTTTGTAGAAAATTAGTTAATTGCCTTAAAATTACTTGTTTATTTAGAGAGCCAGATAAATAGAACATTAACAAGACAAGGTTTATTTTAAATGTATATTACATGGCTATGTAGAATGTAGATGTAAAATTCTATTTAGCAAAGACACAAGCCCACCGTATTTCAGATTTATAAGAAATATGTCTATAACTCGAACAATTCAACTATAAAGCCACTACTAAATCGTTTTAGGGGTTGATCTTTAACCCTTATTATCAGGAAATGATCGAAAAGGCTCAAAAGAAGGTTTCAACCCCCGTCTTCGGTTAAGTAAGGCATTTGACAAGCTCTGAAACCAGCTGCGGTGTCCGAGCGGTTAAGGAGATGGACTTGAAATCCATTGGGTTCTACCCGCACAGGTTCGAATCCTGTCCGCAGCGATAGTTTATTTTTAATCTTTTAATTATTTTTGTTTTTTTTTTTATTTTATTTTGTTAAAAATATGTGAATTTGTAATCATATGCAGTTCATACATCTTTTAAACCCAGCGGCTTATAGTTATGTGTTTGGTTTGTTAACTAGGTTGGACACCACAGATGTCTACTCTTTTTTGTTCTGCTTTTGTGTATTTTTAACTTTTGCTACAAAAATAGTTTGCATTTTGATTTGTCTTTAAAACTATGGTTTTATATTTAAAAAGAAAACTTAATACAACACGACTGTATTGGTACAATATAGCTTAAAACTAAACCAGGCATAGGACTGTGCTCCTACTGCTTGGGCGGTGGTCGGTAGACGCCTACAACCACAGCGTGGTCTCGCTCGTAAGGCTCCAGGGTGAGCTGCTCCTGCGGCTTCAGCTTGTCGGCCTGCATTTTCTTCACCTCAGCGGCGAAGACAGCTTCGGGCTGCGCCGTCGAGTCAATGCAGGAGGCCTTGATCGATATGACGAAGTGACCGCCGTTTTTCAGGAAGTGCTGGGCGTTTAGCGCCACAATTCGTCCCTGATCCGGCTGGGCGACATCGGCAAAGATTGTGTCCACCATGCCCACCAGCATCCGGTACTTGTGGGGATGACGAGCATCCTCAATGATGGGGATGATGTTGGTACGTTTCTTGGCAACATTGATCAGATCGCGACCAGATCGGTGGGAGAACTCTACAGCGTAGACGAGACCCTCGGGTCCCACCACATCCGAAACGTGCGATACTGTTGTACCAGAGGCGCCACCTAAGTAAAGGACCTTGGAACCGGGTGGCATGTGAATCTGTTCCACGCCACCGAGAATAGCAGCGGCCAGCTTAGAGCGGAAGGGATTCCAAACACGGTACTCAATCTTCTCGCCATTGGTCTGCAAAGAAATTGAAATTATTAGGAATCTACTCTTCAAAGAAGGGAAAACAGTTCCTTGGGTTAGGAGCTCAGTTGTGCATTAATCTAAGCACGCCTTGGAGCACCCACAGCTGCTTCACGTGCACCTGAAGTGCACACAGCCACAGGTGGTCGCCAAGAGTGCTCATGGCCACATGATGCCATGTTCTGTACCCCTGCACAACCTCATCATCGACAATCAAGGTAATCTTTAATAAAGTACAAATCATACAAACCTCAACAGAGATGCGCTTTTCGCCGTAGACTTCAGATCCGGGGACAAAGTTCCTGGTGACTAGCGCGTCTTCCTTTCCGCGTGCGATAAACACTCCCTCGTGACGATGAGGCTCAATGATGACGGTTTTGCCGCCCTTGAAGCCACCTGCTCCACCACCGCGGCCGCCTCCGCGACCACCACGGGCGCCTCCACGACCACCACCTCCGCGTCCTCCGAATCCGCCACCTCCTCCACGCCTATCGCCACCGCCACCGCGTCCTCCACCACCACCACGGCCTCCAAAACCGCCGCCTCCACCACGACGATCTCCGCCACCTCCACGACGATCTCCACGGAAGCCACCGCCTCCTCCTCCTCCTCCACCGCCGCCGCCACGACCACGGAAGCCTCCGCCTCCTCCTCCACCGCCGCCGCCGCCACCGCGTGGACTAAAACCTATGAAGAAATCACATTTTATCAGTATTCCATAGATCAAGAGGTTAGTTTCCAAGATATATTTGGTTTTTCATCGCCTGATTTGATCAGTTTCGATGGATTATGGATTTGCGCACCTGGTTTGCCCATTTTTTATTGCTGTAATTGAACTTTTTAATACAACTTTAAAAGAAATCTGGACCGTCTCCTATTAACACGCGGCAATCAAAACGCTGTACCGACGAAAAGAAAAACACGTGTGTGCGGGAGCCAGGGATGGACATTTTATCGAAGCAACAAGATACCACGGTATGGTCACACTTACACCAACATAACACGGTTACATTATGATTTAAAGGCGGATTTTTTAAAAAACTAAACGAAAAAAATACAAAATATTTATTATTATGCTTCATATTTAAGAATAAATATAAAAAAACTGATCTTTACCATATTTTAAACAAAATTTTGAAACTAAAGCTTAACTTTTAACCACCTAAATTTTTTTTACTTAAACAAATTTTTTCGGATTTTAGAATTTATTAATTATGATTTACCAAATATACAAATTTTGTCTATTTTATAAAGCACTCTTGCAAAGTAAATCAAACAAACCAATCCCGGTCGTCCCTGACAATGACCCAAACGCCTTGGAGATCTAGTGGTCTTTGACCAAACAAACATGGAAATCAATGCTTTGGAATCGGGGTAACTTCCTCAGTCCAAGTTGAGAATTTCAGTTGGAAGGACAAATTCAGTAAAGTTCTTTAAAGAAAAATAATTTTTCGTAGTTTATAGTTTTGCACAACCACCCCATTACAAAAATTAGCTTCCACGATGGCTTTCCGTTCGGTGACCACCTTGGAGAAGCCATTGCAGCATATCTCGCTGACGGACTGGTATGCCCGGCTGAATCAGATGCGAAATATTGCAGATGCCCGGAGAGCAGATGCCTTTGCGATTCGTCATGCATCCAGATCCCTGAGGAACGAAACCAGGATCGAGAGCGTGTGGGCCAATTATGAAACTAACGAGGCACTGACGGATCGGTAAGTCCCCAAAGATGGTCTTCATGGTTTCTGGTTATGACTTTGGAGTCTTTTTTAAAGGATTTCCGAATTGAATCGTTGGAAGGACATCATTTCCAAGACCTTTGAGAGGATAGAACGAGAAATTGATATGCTGATGGAGGAGAAGAATGCCACAGAGCGTGAGCTAGAGGCGTTGGCAGGTCCCATTTCGGTGATAGCTGAGTGCCTGACTATGCGCGATGGACGACTTGGCTCCGAGATCACCTATGATGAAGCTGATACCGAAATCAAGAACGAGTTGGCTATCTTGGAAAACAATCAACGACTCCTCGCAGATCGTTGCCAAAAGGCGTGGGAAAAGCTGACGCGTCTGGAGGAGGTGCGCTTCAAAATCGGCATGGAGATTGAGAACAAGGTGGAGGCAGTGGAGCTGGACAAGTCTCAGTTGGCCTTAGACCGTAATGCGGCCAATATCTCTTACAAACCGGATCCCACCAGGAATCCTAAAAAGTGAGTATGTAGCTTTAAACCACACACCTATATTTATCACTGCCATTCAGCTCCTGCTCTTACGAGACCTGGCTGGAGCATGTGAAGAACGTGAAGCTGCTGGCGGAGAATGAGCTGGCTGACACCTATGCCATTCGGGAGGCGCTCTTCGTGTGCCGGGAGAAGGCACGCAACATGCTGCTGTCTCAGATGGAACGGGCGGAGCACACGATTCGAAAGCGCATCTTCGAGACCCAGCGGGCCAGGAACGAGTTGGAGTGGCAGCAGACAAAGATGAAGGAGGAGATGGAGAGGGCGATGTGCGAGATCCGCAGTTCGGAGCAAGCCCTTCGTGACAAGGTTGACGCCCTTAAATTGGCGGAGACGCGTCTGGAAAATCGTGCCCAGAGATCTGGCATGGAGCTGTGCATGGACCAGGCCCACGACATGCTCTGCCTGGAGGTCGAGAAACTGCGCGAAGTCCGTCGCCGGCTGATGGCAAAGATTGATGAGAGCAAGACCAACTTCAGTTTGTTGGAGGAGCATGCCAAGCGCATCGATGTGGATCTTGAGAACAAGCAGCATGCCCTTATGACCGACATTCGTGCCCTAGACCTGCGCATGCGGCTCCGTGGCGGCGAGTTCGGAGTCAAAGTGGCCAGTCCATCTGCCCAAACTGACCGTAACATTGTCCTTACCCGTATGGAGAAGGAGATACCCAAGGACTAGACTACGTTATATCACTCGTTTTATGTATTTCCCTGACGTTCATTGTGCGTTGCTGCGTTTTTCCAAATTTATGTGAATAAAAGTATATAATCCCCCTCGGATTTCTACGGCTTTTTCTGGCCAAAAGTAAATGAGAGCTGTCCCAGTAGTGGCTTAAAGTCGGTGCTCCAGTCTAGCGAGCTGATGGTTTGGTTGGCTTTTTGAGGAAAATGCACTCCTTGCCGGACGAACATGTCCCACTTTACAAACTCTCCCGGAGTTACTTCTTCACTTGGTCCCGTGCTTACTACGGACCTAGGACTACTGTCGTTGATTAACTGCCAGTCCACCCACAGTGCTACGCCATTGCAGGTGCCAGGACTGAAAAAAAAGAGTTTTTAGTTAATTTACTCAGCTATTCATAAAATAAAGCTTACTGCTTCAGTTCTATGGTTCCTTTGAGGTGATGCTCCTCACTAAATTTATGGAAATCCACGTTAAGAATTTCCTGGGGTTCGGCCAGCGCCCGACAGGGATATTCCCACAAGGGCTGGGCTTCCACCAAAGTAACTGCCTGCTCAGCAGACCTCTGAAACAAAAAAAGATATAAAGTAAGAAACGAAATATTAAATTCTTTAGAATTTATGTTTTTCCTACCTCTACCATTTCATCAAATAGCCTCAGATCGAATCCCTCGCAGCTGACTACAGGAGCTCGAATCTTGTGCAGATCCAAGAACTCTACAGGGAGAGCATAAATTCTGGCGGAGCAAGGCGATATCTTCACGTCTTCAGGCAGTTTCTCCTTAATTTTCGCCAGCAAGGTTCCAAAGTAAAAGTTGTCCCATGGAAGGATTGCATTGAGGAAGTATGGCTCTGCAAAGACATGTGTAATTCCACCTAGCTCCGAATCCTCCACTTCCTCTACTTTATCCACAAACTGGACGTTCTTTAGTTGGTTATGTTGCACAATAGATTCAAGCAGCCTTCGCGAGAATCGATGAGGTTCGTGGAGATGAACTGATGCGGCTCCTAAAGCAGAACTCGCCAAACCCAAAAGGCAACCGTTGCCAAGAACCAAAACTTTGGACTTTTCCGCCTCTATGTTCTCCTCCAGGTACCGCAAATAGCGTTTGTTTCGGGTAGATTGGTTCATCTGACCAATCCTACTTCTGGAGTATGTCATATGCAGATCGCAGGTACAAGTATGTCGGCTGACACTTTTCGCTGGCGCTTCCGCGCGAGCATCAAACCATAAGGAATATTCATCATGATGGCAGCTCAAGTGGAAAGATTTTCCTGCTTCTAGCAGTTGGAGCGGCTTGGGTATGTAGTAGATGGCCTGCATCCAGTGATCCCGCCAGGGAACCACATTAGGCAATGGCAAATCCTTGCCCTTTTTGCCGGCCAGGTCTTTGATTTCCGGATGTGCCCAGTAGGGAGCGCAGCTGAGCAGAATTTCACCACCATCGTCCAGTTGGATGTCCCACCAGTAGAAGACGAGTTCAGCAGAGCCTGGCTGATTTGATTGCACTTCCAGAAGCTGATCCCGCTTCTTCTCCCTCTGCTTTTTACGTTGAAAGTCGAACTGGAAGATCTCCACGGGGTCGGTAAGGGGACGGAAAGTGTGACTTGGCAGCTGCGACAACTGGACATCATGCAGACCCGCTTCGCCCTTGCATCCTTTCAGTTGCTCGGGCGGTTGCAGCAGAGGTTCGCCATCGAGGTTGGCCAGGGATTTCAAGCTGTTCCATTGCGCCGCAAGTGGGGACTGAGCTACCTGAGCGTAACACCTGGCACGCGCTGGTATGCACAGTGCATCCTCTGTTAGGAGCTCGTCGTGGGCATGGTTATAGATTCCTATGGCGCCTTCGCCTATTAGTTCTGTATCCAGCAGCTCAGCTACCAGAAGATTGGCCTTTCGTGGCATATCCTCGCCAATTTGAATGTCCGTAGAACGTTTCCTAATGAGCCGCACTTTATCAGCAGCTCCATTTGCGGCCAGGATTTTCTCGGCGCAGTTCGCCATGGGTAGGAATGCTTCGCAGGCGGTCACAGAATCGGCACCGGCTTCCAAAGCCATCATAGAGAGGATTCCAGTGCCCGTGCCAATGTCCAGGACGTGGACTTCCCTTCCTGCAGATCGCATCTCCCCTATTGTTTTCCGCAGGGCAGCAAAGTATTTCTGGTTCCGCTCCCAGTCGTGCAGCATGTCGCCGAATCCAGCATTGGCCACCTCCTGGTGGTAATCGTAGTCATCCTCCCGCTCCTGCCACGAGTTCTCGCCGGTTATGGGGTTCAGCACTTGTGAAAAGCAGGACATTGTGCGGGGACGGAGAAAATGTGGCTTAAACAAATTCCTCAACATTCAAAAAGGTTATCACAAATATACCAAAATTAGGGTTTTGATAATATATCAAAACATTAATTTATCGATATTTTTTTACAGAAACGGTATTTTCTTATCGTGTAAAATTACAATGTAAAAAATTCTTTGATATTAAAAAAAAAACCATTAAGAAAAGCTAACATCTTTATTAGAGGAGATCCATTTTTAAAAATTAATACATTTTTAGAATCGAAGAATCATTCACCATTAATCTTTATCAAAATCGTTTACAGTAGTTTTCGATAGTTTTGTTCTCATTTTTTACATGGGCGCATTTTTTTGAATTCTTTGACCCGAATTGAAAGAGATGAAAATGGGTTTATATATTTTGTTTTTATTTACTCTGTTTTGTACAAAATTTTTTTAGGTTTCAATTTACATCACCACTTAAAAATTACATCTAACCTAACATGGTTTGGGCAGGGCACATCTTTTGGTCTCAAGAACTTAACTAAACTAATAGATTATCCTCCGAAATTGAAATTTAATAGTTTCAGCCCGCAAAGAAACAGCGGTAGAGCATATAGAGGATGCCGAATATCCAGATGCCCTTGTAGACCTTGTCCACCACCCACATACTGCAAAGAGATCGAGAATTTATTAATGATGAGTATCGTTTTTTAAGAAACTTTTAACTTACACTTTCATGTGTCGCCTGGCAGCCGGAATAGACTCATCCGATTCCTTCAGGATGAGCCGACGGGCGCAAAGCACACAGTTGGTAAAGTAATCTATTAGGTCCAGCTCTATCTTCTCTATGACGTAGGTTCGACGCTCCTTGTTATTCATTAATTTTCGAAGCTTCACCGCCTCTGAATTGTCAAAACTCCAAACATTATTGGCATAGTACTCGAACACCTCGAATCCCTTGTAAATCCTGTTCTGGACGCGGCACAACACCGGAGGGTATCGAAGGATCCACAACAGAGCGTCAACAAAGAGTGCCGGCATCCATTGGAACAGAACCATGCAGATGAAGTGCACCCAGTAGTTGGATTTCATTGAACCACCGGGATACCAGGCCACACCGTTTAGAGGAACCTTGTTCTCAATCACCCACCGTCCCAGCTCAATGATCTCTGCCCAAGAAACCTTGATTTCGCTGGAGGAGGTCATGTGGGCCACCCGGTTGGTGGCATCAGTACCGGCGCTTATATTCCTCCAGCTGGCCACCAGAATACCATTCACGGCAATATCCACCGGCAGGAAGTCACCATAACCAGACGAGTTGCAGTACATTGTCCGGATGACGCCCTTTCCAGCTCCAATCAGGAGTCCCGTGGGTCCATTAATGTTATCCGTCCATCCGGGAATAGGCTCCTTCCAGATGGGAATCACAATCGAAGGTCGAAGGATTACAGCGGGCAGTTTATCAAACTTCTCCACCACCAGGGCCTCTGCCAGGGACTTTGTGTAGGCATATGTGTTGGGAATGTCCCCCAGAACCTTTCGCTCGATAATGGACACCTCCTCATCCGTCAACCACTCGCAGGCCTGCATCACCTTGTGAGGATTCGCTGGTGGGTCGTAGGGCTTCTCGTAAAGAGTTTTCACATGGAGGTGGCAGTATGCCGTGGAACAGTAGGCGAAGAAGTCCAGGTGCTTCAAAGTGAGGGCCAGGTCGAGCATGTACTTGGTACCACGGGTGTTCATAAAGACAGCGTTACGAAGAGGTTCGTCAAAGCTGGAAATGAGAGGTGAGAGGTCATCTTAGATCCTATTCTATATAAATCTTGGAAAAGTTTATTGAAAGTAATATTCTACCATCCAAAAATAATTTATAGAATATTTAAAAACTTACCGCACAGTGGCCGCACAATGGTATACAATGGAGACTTCGTTCCGCAGGGTTTCCAAATCCTCTTCGGAGATGCCCAGGCCAGGGGACAGGACATCGCCGGCTATGGCCCTCACCTGTTGTTGGATTTTCTCCTCGCCACGCATCTGCTTCACCTGGTCAAAAAGCTAGGAGCAGCACACATGCCACAAATTAATTTTGATTAACAACGCATTTATTTGCAACACATTACCACATTCTGGAATATATCCTTGATGCGCTCCTGCGGATCCTTGCCCTTCTTTGGTCGAATGAGTAAATAAATGCGTTTTAGCCCACCGCAGGACCTGTAGGAAGTCATAATGATGCATATTAGCGAAAGCAACTTGGATTAATGGGGTCTACGTGCAGCGAAGATAGCTTTCCCACACACCACCCATTAATTATTAGTCGCCTGAACATACTGACCTTAGAAGTTTCTCCACCAGGACTTTTCCAAGGAACCCAGTGCCTCCTGTAATGAACAGACTGCGTCCTTCGAAGCACTGCGCAATGCGGTCCACCTCGGAGTCGTCAACTTCTCCTATGGTGCCTAGGTCATCCTTCTCGTACACGAACTTTGGTTTAGCTGTCATGGCTGATGGCTTCTAAGGATGACACAGAAAAACTTAAAACTTCTAGCCTTAACTTTGGATGGAAAGATGTAGTTATAGAACTACAGACCTTTAAAAGTGACTAATTTTTAATAAAAATCTAATATAAAATTGAATAAAGACATTAAGTAGCTATAGTTGACCCAATGATCTTATCCGGCTGATTTTATGGTTGTTTCTAATTGTGGACTTGGATCCCCTGGATGGCAGACACCTATAATCTTGTAGTTGGCCCGGCCAGAGCGACGAGTGAAACCGAAACTGAAACTCAAACCAGACTCCAGTGACTGGCCATAAAAGTGGCGTTAATTTGAGGTCCAGTTTTTTATGATACTGTTGTTATTCTTGGCCTAAAATTAAGAGGCTTGAATAGCTCTAGCATTGGCCAAGATCAAAACAATTAGTTGTAGTTCATGGCCGAAGACCGAAGACTCCAACAGCGAACGTGGTTTCTTGTAGAAAGTGAAATGAGTGTCGAAAAGGGCAGTCTTGAATGTGATAACTTGGCGAAAAGATTGTAGCATGGCCATGTTAACTATTTAGCTTTGGGCCAAAAAAACTTCGTTTAACGATTTTGTTCGATTTCGTTTCGGAGGTATCTCCATCACAGATCTCAGTTAAATTTTCTTTGCTATAGTATCCGGTAAATGAGGGGATTGCATGGACGATGACAGCCACCAATTTTCTCCAAGAAAATCGTGCGCCACCTGGACAATAGCCATTTAAACGGTAGTCAGTTTCTCTATTGGGAAACTGCCGAAAAATGTCTTGCATAATGTGGCTTTTCGGTTAGAAGCAACTAGTTTTCGTAACTCAAGAGATGTCAACAACGCGATAGGAAAATAAAGGAGCGGACTCCACAAAATACCCAGAAATATCAAAACTACCAACTAATAAATTATTCACTTATAAAAATCACTAGTAATCCTTGCTAAGGTTTTCAGCTTCGGAGGAAGATACCAGCGGATGCTTGGCTCACCTGTGCTCACCAAATGCTAAACACAAACTGATCGGACCTGGCTGCGGAATTAACAAAAACAGTCTCGCATATGAAAACAAACCTAATAGAAAATAAAACGAAACGACTTTAGGTTAAGACTATGTATCGTATTGGCTAGTTTAGCACACTCACACATACTTTTGGATCTCGGAAACCAGCTAGGAGGCACAGTTATCGGGCCCCAGACCGGAGAGCAGTGACACAGACCGGAGAGTATGCTCCCCCGCCTCCTCCGGCACTCGGGCTGGGGTTAAACTTCTGTGCCATGCTCATTCACTTGGCTGGCTGACCTGTTTTACCTGCTTACTCGTGCCCCTGCTCCGGCACTAGCTCGACTATTCAATTGCAAATGAATCGGGCTGTAACATAGAATGTTATGCAACTGCAAGGTTACTGAATCTTGACGCGTTCCTCATTCAATTTGCCACATTGCGCATACGCAGCGTGGCCGCACGTGAGTGGAGTCCGATCCCTCTGGCTGGTCCAGAAAGTGGGTGTACTGTCTTTTTAATGACACACATAAATCTCGGTAGTGCTGGTCATTAATTAGGGGGCTTCTCGTTTGTTACAGTTGCTGATCAAAAGACCGTAGACCGGTGGAAGACAAGTCGCCAAAACCGAAAATTATTCGGCAGTGGCATTGACACCGAACCATCGCTAAATCTTGGGGTATTTTTTTAAATTAAAAGTTAAGGCCGAAAGCTATTATAGAAGTGACAAAATCCGATTAATGAAAGAGGACTTAGCAGAGGGCTATCATCCCAGGTATCCCTCTGACACCATTTGAAGGTTTTCAGGGGGAATCTACACTCGAACATCCATATGTATCTGGGGGAGTGGTACAATGGCTGGTCAGCGACCTTGAACTTGGTCTCTTTTTGTTTGACTTTGATTCCGTTTTCGTTTTTCATAAACATTTATGCAAATAAAGCCATCGGTCTGGTGGTTATAAATTTTTTTTTTATTGATTTCCGAAGATCGTAAAGAGCATGGCTAAACAATAATCTTGGCGGACACTAGACGATTTAGACTTCTGAATTTCTGCCCAGTCATGTGTGCCATTGACGGAGGAACAACTGGAGCTTGTCTTCGACTGGTCTTTGTAACTTTGTTGGCCTTTAAGTTGGCCCATAATTACAGGCTTCCGCATTTTGAACAGTTTTACGGACCCACCCAAGGGGCGAGGCTCAAAAACTGGGCGATTGGGCACTGAAAATAGGGCTGGACTGGGGCTAGATGGTGTGGTGTGGGGTGGGGTGGGGTGGTGTGGCGACTTGCCACAGGCGCCACAATGTATCCCGTTACAGAGATGCGACAACGGCAAGGGCAAATTATAACGCATACGGGCACGTAGACGTCGCTCACTTGCCGGTGGCTAATTGGACGTGCCTGGCGGGGATTGCTTGGCTCGTCCAGCTCCTGCTACTCCTGATGCTGGCAATCGCCTTAAAAATGGGCGTACCATAACAATTGTGGGCGATTTGCATACAATTTGGCTCTCAAGTGGCCAGAAAACTGGCGACGAAATGTTGCCTCATGATTAATACGTCGACATGAATGCGTACTCGGGACTAGGCTTTTGTCCTTTTCAAAAAGCTCTGACAGCCAACAAACATATCAGTCCGCCAAGTCCAGCACATTCCATTCGGACATTGTCAAGTTTTTGCATCCACATGTTTTTGCTAATCTGCCACCCCCGCATTCTTTTCAAGGGCCAAAAAAAAAACTGCATTGGTTATAAAAAACAACAAATAATAGAATTCTTTCTTTTATTTAGTATGTTAACCATGTTGCAGCAACACTTGTTGCTCGCCACAAACAGCGTTGCCGGAATTTCAGAACAATTGCTTGGCTGGCAACATGCTGCAGCAACACTTGTTGCTCGCCCACACACATCAGCAACAGCAGCATCAGGAAGTTTGGCCTATGGTCGCCGCTTCCCACAAAGGACAACATATAAAACAGGATGTTTCTCCAAACATTTGCACAGAACTGCTTTACATTCAACCAGGCAACAAGTGTTTGCGAGTGCCAGTGTCACATCCTTGCCGTATCCCAGTCAGCAGTTGAGGGAAAACCTTTCCAAAGGTGAGTTGCAAAGTGTTTTTGAAGTAAAAATAGAAAGCCTTGGAAAATATTGAACTAATTTAAATTTGTGAATAAAAGTGTTAAAATCTATTTTCACAATACTTTTGAGTAAATTTGCTAATACATTTTGGTAGTAATATAAAGATTTAACGAGTGAATTCATGGTTATGGCTTACAGTTTCTAGGAACGTAGTTGAAGTCATTTTTAAAACAATACTTCTATATTTAATATGTATTTATTTTATTGTGAATAATGTATGTATTTGTCTTCTGGGATTTTGTAATCTTCTAAGCCGTAATCATCTAAAAAAGTGAAAATTGTTTAGATTAGAAAAATAGATGTAGGATTCGGTTCTGTTTTAAAGAGTCGATCATGAATTTATGCAGTTCCTTGGGATTGCTTCAGTGCTCTAGTTGCTCTAGTAATATATATCCTTCATCTTTTTTACTTAACTAGGATCCATCCTTTTAGGGTCATCTCGCTATTTGTCTGGAGCTTATTGAAATGAAGTGGGAGTATAGGAAGTGGGTAGGTAATTTGTGTAGAAGTGGGAGGGTTTGAGGCTACTTAGAGGCAGCATTCATAAAATTAAAAAAACAAACAAATCTCGGTGTCAGTAAAACCGTTCAATCCCACATGAAAGCATTAGTTATAACCTGGTAGTTGTGGTAATTTTTAATTGGCCCAGTTTTTCAGTCGAATGAAAGCACTAAGCCCGAGTTGTGAACTTTTTGACACCTCATCCCACTCGGTCCAAAAATCAGTTAAATCTAAAAAACAAAACGGAGGGAAAACTTTTTCTTCCAGCCAGGAGAGACAAACAAAACACCAGGAAATAGTAAGCTTTCCGAACCACCGTGTTGGTTAATAAAGGAAAATTGAAATATTTATGAATACTTTGGGTGGGCTGGGAAATGGTGACTGCATGGGGCTAACCCAAGCCGTGGCTAAATTTGTATTTGCATTATATGGAAATAAATGGAAAACACGGGGACACTCATGCATTCGTGTTGACAGGGAAGGGCTTAAGAACTTTAGAGTTGAGAGGGCAACGGTGCGTGCACAATTTTTGATTTATTGCTGACATGGGAAGTCCGACTAAAATGCCTCGCGACATCATTTGTCTCCGGAATAGTCTCTGCTCCCAGTCTGGATTGACCCAACCTGGCACATGATATTTAAATGCTACTCTTTCCACGGTCTAAGTGCTCCATCCAACACCTGTATCCAGTAATTCTTGTTGCCAGGGAGCCAACTTCAAACGTATTAAAAGAAATCGCATATACCATGCAAATAAGGTTACTCCCGATACAGGGCTCCTTCGTTGGCGAATTAACGAGTGTGTTATTGATACATCCAACCCTCTTCCCAGGCGCTGACTTACAGCCCAAAAATACTCAAGTCTCATTTATGAATATTAAATTCTGGCAATTGTTGCTGGCTGGCACTACCCACTTCAACTCCGTTGACTTCTTGCCGCTGAGTACCTGTCTGTCACTCCCCTCCATATTGCCACATTCCGCATGCCCCGAGCTCATAAATTAAATGTGGCCGACTAGTTTCCCCGTTTATGAGGGCCTTGAGATATCGCAACGTGTGTGCGTAGAGTGTTGCAACCAATGTTGCACTTGCATTGGCCTATGCCGAGTTGCCGTTTAGGCTTTAAGCCGTTGCCCAAGCCGAGGTGTGAATAAACACGGTCGCTGCGATTTATTCAAATTAAGAGACTGCTCTCGCACTTGATGAATAAAGCTGTGATTGCCCATTGCCATTAAATTGGACGAGTACCTACTCCACTCCACCGAATGTATGTTAATGCTCGCCGGTTGCGAAGTCTGCTCATCATTAGTCGCTGCCGAAACCGAGTTTGGAGGTCAAGTTTTTATCGTGAATATGTAGTATGGGGTTTCTTTTATAATTTCTTGTCTGGCCAACAAAAAAAAAAACGACAGTCTTCAAGTGTCAGACAGATGTTGATTTGCATTTGTGTGCAAGATTTTAGCATTTAGGTTGTAAGGCTTAAGAAGTTTTTTTAAAAATCATGGAGTCTGCAAGGCCAATACCATCTCATCCAAAAGCCATATCCATTCGCATCTGCAGTGGAGCTGGGACATCATACATCAGCTTCCCCTGTCATCAACCCACCCAACAAATGGCACACCCACTCCTCCACGGGCAACTGTTAATGCCTCCACGAGTAAAGTGGGTCGTTGTTTGGGTTACGAGCCCATCCTGCCGTGCACCAGAGTGGGTGGCTGTGGTTGGTCCTGTTTCCGTGGCCTTAATGTGGCTGGTTAACTTTTTACGCGACGCCCAAGTAGATCTGACCATAAATATCCTGATGGTTAATTAGCATGAATCTTTGTCCGCGGCGGAACTAGGGGTGGGTCTCAGTTACTTATTGGTCTAAGTAAAACGAACGTCAGCCGGCGTTAATGTGATTAAAACTTGCAATATAAGTTGGGGCCATAATAACGACTCAAATTCGTGCATTCCCTTGTCTCCTTGCAGATGGGTATCGCCTTAATGTTCCTGCTGGCCCTCTACCAGATGCAGTCGGCCATCCACAGTGAGATCATTGAGACTCCGTTTGCAGTTGGCGGGAACTCCTTGTTGGAGTCCCCGGATATCGCGTCCGAGATCCTGGATCAGGTCCCCCAGCAGGATAACGAACTATTGGAACCAGAGAAGGCCCAACTGGAGTTTAATCACCCCATTTCGGTTATTGGGGTGGATTATGGCAAAAATGCTGTTATCCTCAGGTTCCAGAAGCACGGTCGCAAGCCGCGCTACAAGTACGACCCGGAACTGGAGGCCAAGCGGAGGACCCTACAGGACAATTTCATGCACTTCGGCAAGCGGCAAGTTGAGGAACTCCCGCTTGAAGATGATCCGGACATGGATGCAGTAAAGCGTTCGGGCATCTCACAGCAGGATCTCATGCGATATGGTAGGGATCCAAAGCAGGACTTTATGCGATTCGGACGAGATCCCAAGCAGGATTTTATGAGGTTTGGAAGAGCCCCGTCCGATTTCATGAGGTTTGGGAGGACACCACTAGAGAATTTCATGAGATTGGGGCGCTCTGACAACTTCATGAGGTTTGGACGCAGTCCTCACGAGGAGTTCCGCAGTCCCAAGCAGGACTTCATGCGTTTCGGGCGTCCGGATAACTTTATGAGGTTTGGCCGCTCTGCTCCGCCGGAGTTCTCCCGCAATGGAAAGATGGACTCGAACTTTATGCGTTTTGGCAAAAGTATCAAGCCAACAACTTTAGAACACAACCAAACGAAGCCGGCAAAGCTTAGCGAGAATATCCTCAAAAAGGAGCAGCAGGAACAGGCCAAGAGCAACGTGGACATTGCATCAGCGGACGACGACCAGGAGCCATTCTTTGCACAGTAAGGATGGGGTCTCCTGCCAAAGATTCCATCTTGTAAATATGTATTTGACAAACACACTTATCGAATTGTCCTCCTCCGCACTCAAACACTCTTTATTAACGCCTAGATCTTGAATTTTTAATGGGGCTGGATTAAAAATTCACCAAGCATTGACCTAAATATACTTATAATATATGCATATTTTTAATTAGTGTAACCTAAAAGCATATTTTTGCCAAAAAAATTCCAAAAATAAAGATTGCTCAATGGTAGGTGCTGTTTTATTTTCAAAATTACCGCCAATGTTGCCAGCCCTGGCGGCGCAGTATGGTAGCCATTCTTATCAGTTAATCGAGGGGTCTGGCAGCTCTGAACGGTGGCAGCACCGGATCTCAGCTGGGGAAACCATTGCAGACGGATCTTTAACCGCTTTTAAAATAAACTTTATCAACTTATTGTCGATTATAAGTTGCCCGTCTCGAGTGGAAGACGCTCAGCAGGCAACAGAAAACATATCGCACGGACTTTGGCAAGCCATTACGTTGCTAATCGTTTAAGTCTAAAGTCCAACTTGTTGCATCGATCTTTACTGTTGTTGTTTGTTGTTGTTGTTATCAATTGTTTGAAAACACATCAGCTTTCCAGTGCATCGCTAGCACTTTCTGGTTTATTGGATCGTTTATTGGAAAACTACAGGGAATCAATATGTCTGCATTACTGAAAATGCACAAAGGTAGGTCCATAAAGACTAGTTTTTTCAACTGAAGAACATTTGCGAATTACATAACGCTCGGAAGATAATCATTAAAAAGAACTTTCGAAAGAAATTAAGATTAAGATTCTGTCTTCTCTAGTCCAGAGGCTCTTTACCCCCGCATTGGTGCGCAGTGTCTCGGAGGCGGCGAAATATCCGAAGATTACCACCCACTATACGCTGCATCCCCGCGAAAAGGATGAGCGCTGGAAGGAGGTGGACATGGAGCGGTGCATCGAGGAGGTGGACCTCGTTATCGTGGGCGGTGGACCAGCAGGGATGTCGGCAGCCATTCGAGCCAAACAGCTGGCGGCGGAGAAGGATCAGGTGAGTTAAGGGATTACCTTTTTATAATTTCTTGTAATTCTCATGGTAACCCTTAGGAAATCCGCGTCTGCGTTGTAGAAAAAGCCGCCGAGGTGGGCGGACATATACTCTCTGGAGCAGTCTTAGACCCCATTTCCATAAACGAATTAATCCCTGACTGGCAGGAACAGGGTGCTCCCCTAAACACACCCGTGACCAAGGATACGCTATCGTTTCTCACAGGCTCTGGCCGCTTTTCCATACCAATTTTCAAAGGGTGGCCCATGGACAACCATGGCAACTACGTGGTTCGCTTAGGTCACCTGGTAAAATGGCTCGGCGATCAGGCGGAGGCCTTGGGAGTGGAGATCTATCCGGGTTGTGCTGCCTCCGAGGTGCTTTTCCATGAAGATGGCAGCGTCAAGGGCATTGCCACCAACGATGTAGGCATTGCCAAGAGTGGAGCTCCTAAGGAAACGTTCGCCCGAGGAATGGAGCTGCACGCGAAAACTACTATCTTTGCCGAGGGTTGTCGGGGTCACCTAACGAAGCAGATATCGCAGAAGTTTGGACTGAATGAGGGCAGTGAACCTCAGACCTATGGCATCGGTTTGAAAGAAGTCTGGGAAATCGACCCAGAGAAGCATCAGTGAGTACCATTTCGTAAGCTGAAAGAATATGTTTTCTAACTGGAATATCTCACAGACCCGGCTTGGTGGAGCACACCATTGGATGGCCTTTAGACAACGCCACCTACGGAGGGTCCTTTTTGTATCATCTGAACGAACCCACTCCCACAATTGCCGTTGGCTTTGTGGTGGGATTGAACTACAAGAATCCATGGCTCAGTCCTTTCCAGGAGTTCCAGCGCTTCAAAACCCATCCTAAGGTGCGACATGTCTTTGAAGACGCCACCCGCATCGCTTACGGAGCTCGAGCTATTAACGAAGGCGGATTCCAGAGCCTGCCCAAGAAGTTGTCGTTCCCTGGAGGTTGTCTGGTAGGATGCAGTGCCGGCTTCTTGAACGTGCCGCGAATCAAGGGCTCCCACTATGCCATGAAGAGTGGCATGCTGGCGGCAGAGAGCGCATTGGATGCCATTAATTCTGGAGCACAGTCGACGGCAGGCGTGGAGCCGATTGACTATGCGGAGAGGTAAGAGGAATAAATTACCAAGAGAGCAGAGTTTAACTAACATCACTTCCCATGTAGAATCAAGAATTCCTTTGTGTGGAAAGACCTCTGGAAGGTTCGAAATGTTCATCCTTCCTTCCATAATCCTTTGGGTCTGTTTGGTGGGCTTGCCCTCAGCGGCTTCTCCATTTTTATGGGGGGTCGTGAGCCATGGACCCTGAAGCATGGACCTCAGGACCACGAGTCGCTGCTGCCTGCCAGTTCCTGCAAGCCGATCGTGTACCCGAAGCCCGATGGAAAGATTTCTTTTGACTTATTGTCCTCGGTGGCCCTCACTGGCACCAACCACGAGGGTGACCAGCCTGCCCATCTGACGCTTAAGGACGATCGTGTTCCCGTGGATCACAACCTGGCCCTTTACGAAGGTCCGGAGCAACGATTCTGCCCCGCGGGAGTATACGAATATGTTCCAAACGAAGAAGGTGGTAATCTGAAGCTACAGATTAATGCTCAGAACTGCATCCACTGCAAGACCTGTGATATCAAGGATCCGAAACAAAATATCAACTGGGTGGTGCCCGAGGGCGGTGGCGGCCCAGCCTATAACGGAATGTAAAAGGATACGTCCTTCTATATTTGTGTACCGTAATTGCATTTTATTAGTCTGTAAAATTGTAAATTTGATTGAAAATGATTTCGATAAAAATTCTAAAATTCGTTTTGTAGAAAATAGAATAAAGTTTAAAGTGTTTCGAAAAGATATGATTTTGTTGTGAGAAAAAACTATGGAGGGAGCAATGCCAAAAGTTCCTGAATGCTGAAAAAGTAGTTTCGTTTCAATAATAAAATATAAATATTAAAAATAAAAGAAGAAGCCAAATAACTTTAAGAAGCTAGCACAAAATTTCTACTTTTCACAGAGGAAAACCCCATTGATGCAGAATGGTGGCCAATCGATCTAGAAATCGTTTAAGGTACTCCGCTTAAGAATCGGATGAGAATTGGTTAAGATATAGCCATCACTGTGGGCCCTATAGGGGAAAAATCCATTTTCAAGGGATCCCACGAAAAATGGACAAAAAATCTAAAAAATATTTTGTCCCAGGATTTTGATGCAGAATGGTGCAGAATCGATCTAGAAATCGTTTAAGGTGCTCCGCTTGAGAATCGGATGGGAATTGGGGAAGATATAGTCATCATTGTGGGCCCTATGGGGAAAAACCACATTTTCAAGGGATCTCATCGTGAAAATTGGACAAACAATCTAAAAAATATTTTGTCTCAGGATTTTGATGCAGAATGGTGCAGAATCGATCTAGAAATCGTTTAAGGTACTCCGCTTGAGAATCGGATGAGAATTGGGGAAGATATAGTCATCACTGTGGGCTCTATAGGGGAAAACCACATTTTCAAGGGATCCCATCACGAAAATTGGACAAAAAATCTAAAAAATATTTTGTCCCAGGATTTTGATGCAGAATGGTGCAGAATCGATCTAGAAATCGTTTAAGGTACTCCGTTTGAGAATCGGATGAGAATTGGGGAAGATATAGCCATCACTGTGGGCCCTATGGGGGAAAACCACATTTTCAAGGAATCCCATCACGAAAATTGGACAAAAAATCTAAAAAATATTTTGTCTCAGCATTTTGATGCAGAATGGTGCAGAATCGATCTAGAAATCGTTTAAGGTACTCCGCTTGAGAATCGGATGAGAATTGGGGAAGATATAGCCATCACTGTGGGCCATATGAGGGAAAACCACATTTTCAGGGGATCCCATTATGAAAATTGCACAAAAAATCTTAAAAATATTTTGTCCCAGGATTTTGATGCAGAATGGCGCAGAATCGATCTAGAAACCGTTTAAGGTACTCCGCTTGAGAATCGAATGGGAATTAGGAAAGATATAGCCATCACTGTGGGCCCTATAGGAGAAAACCACATTTTCAAGGGATCCCATCATGAAAATTGGACAAAAAATGTAAAAAATATTTTGTCTCAGGATTTTCATGCAGAATGGTGCAAATCGATCTAGAAATCGTTTAAGGTACTCCGCTTGAGAATCGGATGGGAATTGGGAAAGATATAGCTATCACTGTGAGCCATATAGGGGAAAACCACATTTTCAAGGGATCCCATCATGAAAATTGGACAAAATATCGAAAAAATATTTTGTCTCGGGATTTTGATGCAGAATGGTGCAGAATCGATCTAGAAATCGTTTAAGGTACTCCGCTTGAGAATCGGATGAGAATTGGGGAAGATATAGCCATCCCTGTGGGCCATATAGGGGAAAACCACATTTTCAAGGGATCCATCATGAAAATTGGACAAAAAATCGAAAAAATATTTTGTCTCGGGATTTTGATGCAGAATGGTGCAGAATCGATCTAGAAATCGTTTAAGGTACTCCGCTTGAGAATCGGATGAGAATTGGGGAAGATATAGCCATCACTGTGGGCCATATAGAGGAAAACCCAATTTCCAAGGGATCCCATCATGAAAATTGGACAAAAAATCTAAAAAATATTTCGTATCAGGATTTTGATGCAGAATGGTGCAAAATCGATCTAGAAATCGTTTAAGGTACTCCGCTTGAGAATCGGATGAGAATTGGGGAAGATATAGCCATCACTGTCGACGCCATAGGGTCCACTTTCGTGTCTTCGAAGATAGAAGAAATCAGACTCATTTATGAAGGTACATTAGAAGGTAAAATATCACATTAGAAGGTAAAATATATATAATTTGTAGGAAAAAACTTGTAGACTTTCAGTTGCCAAAAGGGTTTTATTTAAAATTCTCTACCATCGTTTGTTCGTTCAGTTTTGTTCTTTTTTTTTTTTAACACCAACTTAATAGGTAAATATTGAATTCATATTCAAATTTGTGTCAATTTCCAAAAACCTTTCATATTCAGTGCACAGATAAAACTTATTTCTCGTTATATATAGTTTCACATATAGTATATGTATGAATGTATAATGTTCCATCTTGTTTTTTTTTTTTACCAAAACGGTTGCCATTTCCATAGAGCTTACATCTACGATTTGCTTGTGTTGCAAGTTGAACAAACACATGGATAGATACACATATTAAAGTTAACCATTCTGCTTCCGCTCCGCTCCGGAGCTTAACAATTTTCGCTAAATGAACTTGCCACAACACTGATGCTGCTTTAACATATTTATCTAGATACTTTCGGGCTAGAGGTACACCAACTATAGGCCCACACGCTGGAATCGATGGAATCGAGTCAGACCCCCGAGTAACCTTCTCTGCTAGAATACTGTGTTGGGTGCGAGTGGTCCCTGTGACCGTAGGACGTCTTGTAGACTATACAGTGCGATCAATACCCTATCAATATTTATGCTCTGTATCTTCTAGTAAGCTTTCCTATACCTTGTCAATATGGATTTGTGTTCAGCCTCAGCTCAACGCCTTTGTACATTATGTGCTGCTTAGTTGGAATATCATTTTATTTGTTTTCTAGGAATCTAGGATTAGGGAGCTTTTATGATTATTATCAGTTATCAGATTTATCTACACTTATTCGAATAGCACAAATAACACCTGTATTTAAATTTTTTCACCATCAAGTTTCCACTTATCATTATCATGTCCAATTTAGTGTTTTTATACAACAACTGGTTATGCTTTCAATTTCATTAGTTTTCATTTAAAAAGAGGCACTGTTTTTAAGGCAACACTACACAGTGAAGTTATATGCCAGGGTCAACAATTGATTGAAAATCATAGGTGAAAGGTTGAAAGGAAATGGTAGAATGTCTTTGGCAAATAATACATAAACTTAACTAACAATATATGAAGTATTTACACAAAAACTTTGCAATAATTTACACAAACTCTGGTTTGTTTCGTACAACATTCAATTGGTGCAACAAACATCCCACATATATGTATGTATATCCTAGAAGATGCTATTTATATTAAAATACCTATGTGTCAGTTATAATTGTTTCTGTAAAGCTTCTTTAACGGGGAAACCTGTAGAGTGTAAGTTACTTCTTATTGTTTACTCATGCCGCCGCCGCCGGCCCCCTGGGCTGGATCTGCAAGTGCAACTGTTGGGTCGCATCGCCAAATATATGCGCAGCTGAGGCGGCCACCTCCTATCAGATACAAACATGTATATGCATATAAATATTATTCTGCTCCTGCTGTTGTATAAAGTGCAACAGGTCATACATACTCGTATAATGCCCAGTGCAAATATTTGCGGAGCTCGTTTACCTCTCTTACTCAAATATCGTAAAATTCCGAAATTCGAAAATGGGAAATTGACATAGACACGCCCACCACGGCCCATCTGACTGCCTGTTCAAATAAGTGGCCTTTTTTTCACAAAAAATAATAATAATATATATGCATGCATATTTTAAGATATATAAATAATAATGTAAAACAATAATTTCATGAATAATTTTATTTAAATTTTATTTTGTTGAGTTCTTGTTGCGATTGCGATAATTGTAGTAAAATACAAAAAACTTAGGCAACAAAATTTAACAGAAATCCTCATTAAACGTAAATTACAAATTATGACTTCGTTTCGCTTAAAAAATGAAAGACAAAGTTGGCTTGTACTAAATAAGCTTAAATCAAGTTTAAAACGAAAGCATAAAGTTAGTGCCTTTAAAACGAGTCTAAACAAATAAAGGTTGGCCTTTAAAAAAATATACCGTCAAATTGCACGAATTTTAATTAAATTAACACGACTGCGAAGAGCTAGCAGCAGGTGTTGTGTTTTCTCGAATTCGAATTTCTCGAATTCCTTCCAAGGTCCTTTCAAATGATTTGCATGATTTACGTATCTCTCGTAATTACAAACTAAACATTAGTGTCTAAAATCAAAATATTTACACAAACAGCTCGACCTAGGCTGATTTTCCTTTTTCTGAATCATCGTTTCATGTCCTTAGATTAGAATAAACATTAACATTAACCATAAATTTTAACTCTGTAATTGTAGTTTGTAATGTGTAACTAAACTAACTCAGCTCAACGTTCTAAACAACTTAACTTGGCTCTCCGCGAGTGCCTCCTGCTGCACTTCATCTCGATGAGGCTCTGCATCTCTGCATCCATGCGTGTATAATTTAAAAATATAACTATTACCATACATGCGTAATTATTTTTATATAAATTACAATAACTATAGATATGACACTGTCACTGTTTTTTTTTTCAATTTTGTTTTCTTTTTTTATCCAGCCCAAACGAAAATCTATTCGTTATCAGCTTTTGAAACTTTTTGCACTGGTCCGGTTACGGTTACGGTTGTTGATGTTGGAACTCCTTTATCTGTTCACGTTGCTGCTGCCCCATCCTGGGGGACTAGGGATTGCTCTGCGGCCCATAGCCCACAGCCAGCTGTTGGCCGAAACAGTCATAGCCCGCCAGGCTGTAGGACGAGCCACGGACCAGCACCTCCTTGCGCGGCGGTGGCGGCATCATCACCAGATCATCCTCCTCTGACTTTGTGTTGCTGTTGCTGTTACTGCTCCTGATGTTGTTGTAGATGCCGCCACAGCCAGGACTGCCGGTACTGCCGGTGTGGTTGTTGTGATGTTGCTTGAAGTGGTTGCTGGCGGCAGTACGAGCGGGCTATGTCCCCCACCCGCCCGATATTCTCGGCCGTTTGTGGTTGGGGGCATCATAGTCGCCCAGTTGTTGTTGCTGTTGCTGCTGCTGCTGGTGTTGCTGCTGCTGGACGGCGGCGGCCGCCATGCGGACGTCCTGGTCGCTGCTGGGCGCCCCTGTGTTCAAAATAATAAAGTCTGTTAAAACATTAGTCAAGATTGTCCAGAGGTCGAATGTGTATGACAAAGGCAGGCAGGCGGGCAGTTAACTGGAAGTGGCCAGAACCAGTGGCATTCGGGTTCTGGCCAGTTAGTGTTCGAGTGTCTGGGTAATGGAGTGTTGTGTGTGTTTGGTGTTGCAGCTGCGATTTTTAGCAATTTTAAAACATATTTCTAAGCAAACATTGTTAAATGTGATCTACTTGTTTTTAATTTTTAATTGCAAACTGGATTAGCTTTGTGACGATCTTGGGGGTTAGAATGAAGAAGTCATATATGGTTAGTGGAAATAAAATAAAAGAACCGCCAAGCCAGGATAACGATTGAAGAATTTCATAGCCCCCCAAGGATACTCCCCCAAAACTGAAACTGTAGCCAAATCGGTTCTCATTTTCGCGGTAATTTTGAAATTGAAACTGAATATAGAAATGTATGCGTATTTATAGGTGTTTTCATGTATGTGATTCTGCGAGTGTATATATGTTGAATGTATATGTGTGTGTGTGTATTTTTTCATTTGATTTTTTTTTTCTGGCCAATTTACCGGCAAAATTCCATCTAGGATTATGTCCCATTAGCGCGCGGTACGGATATCCATCATACTTATCATGCCCTAAAAATTGTTGTTTGTTGCCGGTTGTGGTTAATGCAAAAAAAGACAATTGTATTATATAGTAAAAATATAAGATTTGGAACAGATTTCAGACAAGTCAGGAGAGAGGACTGCCTAAACTCGGCCCATACTTAACTCCCATAGGATATTAAGTATACGCCCGTTTGGTTTTTCCATCATAAATAAATTAATTTCTGAACGGGGAAGCGTTAGAGAACAAGAAACATGCTGCTGCTGGAGAGAGACTTTTAAGAGTTTTTTTCAAAAAAAAAAAAAAAACAATTCGCAAACGCAAATTAGTACAAAAACGGCAGCGATTTCAAGCAGGAATTCCTTTGGAAAACAATTCGAGAAGTACAACAACATAAAGGAGGAAGAAAGGGGGAGGCGGAGAGCCCAGGACATAACCCACCTGTTGTGGGCGTGATGTGGCCCGTCGACGAGGGTCGGGAGCTGGGCATGCCCAGGTGCTGCTGCTGCGAGTGGCTCAGCACACTCAGATTGGTGGCCTGTTCCACGCTGCCATTGCTGCCGCCTCCTCCTCCACCGCTGCCAGACCCACCTCCTCCGCCGGAGGGTCCACCCCCGGCCAGGACACTGACGTTGTTCAAGTGCGTGATGACGTTGGCTGTGCTGGCGGCCGTCAGGCCACCGCCTCCTCCGCCCCCGTTACCGGAGGCGTTGCTGCTGGTGGTGCTGCTGGAGCCGCCGCTGCCCGTGGACCCATTGCTGTTCTGCTGATGGCCGCTCGCGGAGAGGTCGCGGGGCGGCGACTGGGGCTCGGCCTTGACTTTGATGGAAACGGGTGAGGTGGCAGGTGGCGGCGTGCTATTCGAGACAGCCAGGTGTGAGAGACTGAAATGCAAGCAGATTTCTGATTAGAATCTTTGCTGGACTGGATCTGGAAGCTTAATCTTACCTAGAGTGCGACACCAGGCTGTGTTGCCAAGTGTTTAGGCTCATGATGTCCGCACTGCCCATGACGCCGGAGGAAGAAAAGTCCTGCGCTCCAAAGGAGTAGCTCGTGAGGGCAGGGATCGGTGTCTGTAGCGTGACCACGGGCGTGTTCAGCGACGTCTGACTCTGTCGTTGCTAAAGAGATTTCCATTCGAATAAATTTTTCAAAATATATATAAGTTATAGTAGACTTACATCTCCGTAGCCAACGTCATCGGGGGCGGACATGTTAGGCGGTAAGGGTGCTATGGTGGGCGGTATGACGACCCTTAGATTGGAAGCTCGTCCGTTCTGGCTGCCCGGCGACTGCTGCTTAATGGACAAGTGATGAGCTGCAATGGAGAGTCGATTAGTTTTGGGGAATCCTCGGGGATCCGACTAGTATTAGATGGTGGATTAGATGACATAGGTGTGGGGGTTAGGTCGTAGAGTAGAGTAATGTTCTAATGCCCACCTATGCCTGGACTGGGACCTGGACTCGGTGATCCCACAAGCGGCGAGTGTGAATGCGGATAGCCGTTCGACATCTCCAGCATGGAACCCGATGGATATACTGATGTGACCGAGAGAGAAGAGAAATGCAAACAAAAGACACGTTTAACACCAGATACTTGATTCTTGACTGACTTGCAACGAGGAACGAATGGCATTCGGTTAGATGGGGGTGAGTGAGTTCGTAATAAAAACCATCAAAGGTCGCATAGCAGATTAGTAATTTTAGGAAATAAGCTTCAGCCAAACATAGTTTTAAGATTAAACCAAAAAAAAAAGAAAGAAACTGGTTCAAAATTCAAGCGATAATAGATAGAAATGAGTGTGCACCATCGCGAGAGCCACTTGTACTAACTTATCAAGGACATCCCACCTGAATCCGTCTCCGAACTCGATGGACGTGGGCTGATATTGGTGTGAGACATCTGGGGGCTGGCCTGCAGCAGGTTGTCCCCATAGGATCCCGGCACCGGCACCGATACCGGCAGGGTGTAGCTACTATTGGGCAGCTGCCTGGGCGCTCCAGCTCCGCCGCCGATGGCCATCTGGTTGCGCTGCATCATGTTCTGGAACTCCTCGTCGATCTTGTTGTACTTGGCCTCCGTTCGCGGTGTCAGCGTGTAGTCAGTCTCCGCCTCGGGCGAGTCCGGCGACATAACACCGTTCTTGTTCTCCTTCTGTATTGGGGGGAAGGGGATGGAAACACAAATAGGCGTCAGTGAGGTGGTAATTGCCGGAGGGGGCACCCGGTTCTTCCCTTTGTTTTGCTAAATTATGTAAATCCAAAATCGTGGCGTACGTCGCAACATTTACATCACAAAGCCATTTGGATGTACCAGCAACTACCCACCAGTACAGTGAAAGAAAATACTAGCTGTCTGTATGCATTAGAAATTCTAAATATTTTTGGGAATATTTTTTCTCAAAAGCTTGGTACTTTAGTGGAATCATTGGTTCAGTGTCTATTCTTCTGAGCCGTTCTCTGGTACCACCCCGTACTACCAACTACTCACCTCGATGATGTTCTTGTTGGTGAGGGACTCGTGGGGCTCGTTGTACTCCGTGTACTTGAGGAGGACGCGGTCCATGTCGGTGCTGGCATACTGGTACAGTTTGTTGCTCGACGAGAAGATGATCAGGGCGATCTCGCAATCGCAGAGCACGGACAGCTCGTAGGCCTTCTTCATGACACCGAACTTTCGCTTGTTGAAGGTCACCTGGAAACGGAAACGGAAGTGGAAACATTGCTCAATTACTGTCCCTCCGCACTGCTTAAATATTAATGCGGTTCGAAAATGTAATTAGACGCACAAGTGGCCTGCCTCCATTCAGGCCTGACCTGGCCCTTCTAGTTGGTAATGAATCGATTATGGCCGAGTCAAGGCCGCACCAGGAACCTGGCCGAAGCAATAAACAAGCTGTTACTGCTCCTTCTATGGGCGGGCGGGCTCTCTGTCTTTGTTGTTTTTCGCGTTGGGGCTTCGCGTGGTGATGACGCGTTTACGACCCCGGCAAGGACTCGAATTCGGACGCGGACTCTCACTCGGAAGGCTAAACGAACCGGTCCTGGCGTAGCTTACTTTGAAAATAATACAGAGCTCTACGTTAAATACCGTCACTTCTCGGTTTTAATGAGGAAATGCTATTCCCACAAGTGTTGGATTTCAATCTAATAGCCGCAAATCGATTCAACATTGCGATTGCCGATTCCCTAATTAACGGAGTCTTGCCCTCCATTGCCATGGAGATGGCCATAAAAATAGCCCTGGATGGCCGTACACCTGGAGAGCACTCACCTGCCGATTGCGTTCGTCGGTGATGCGTGATATTTGAATTTTCTTGCGACCCATCTCGGCGACTTGTATTCCTTCTGTGGTTATTATAGGCTTATGTGACGTATTCCCTCTTGTATTTGGGGCTCAACTTTCCGGCAACTGGATCCGGATAACTCGGTTAGTGGCGCCTCAATTTCCTCTCGGATTGGCTGCAGCTTCGGGGCATATTTATGCTATTTGGTATATAAATTTATTATCTCTTGTTTGTAGAAGTTCTTTTGTAAACGGACGGCTTCTTAAAACGACACAATACTCCACATTTGTATATAAATTGTCTTCAGGTAACTGGAAGTAGAAGAGGAAACAGAGAATGATATGAGTGATGGAACTTAATTTGGAGCAAAAGGTAACCCCCAGTTTAACCCACATAGCCACTGGTGGCGACTTCAAAAGGTTTTCCACCTGGACGGTGGAGCACGGCAGCCAATCGCTCCACTGGCGCTGAAAGTTCATTGCACCAGTGGTGCCATTAGATTATCCTGCCCACTCTCCAGCTCCAGCTGGATGACCTATTTCATCGACTGGACCAAGTTAATTAATGTGGCTGCTAACTGACGCGAGGCATTCGCAGATTCGCACTTTTTCCAAAACACTTTGATGTCCTGGAACACTCAGACAGAGAAACGCACTAAATCAATAAGGAAATCGCTCTTCAAACAGGGTTTCCTCTACAACTGTTTTTAAAGCGGAAACGGAAGCGCTACTCGGGAGCCTCATCTCAGCCTCAGCATCCAAAAGTGGCGGAAAAGCGGAAGTTGAGGCATCACTTTACCCCGGATTCTGCCCCCACCAGCACTCTGCCACTTGAGTTTCCTCACATTTCTCGCTGTGGCAGCGGCACGTGGCTGGAAAACGCGACTCGGAAAAGTATCTCAGATGTTCAGACACTCTAAGAAATACGAAGATACTATGAGTTCTTGAAAATAAATTAATTTTTCCAATTTGTGCATCATTATAATAGCTATAATGTAGTCTGCAATTCAATAAAGACATTTGGTTTTTACTTTCAAGACTCATCTGTCATTTCTTTTGGTGTTCCGGCAACGGAAATCGAGGCTCTGGGCGCTGTTGCTATTTGTCCTCCGGACTCAGGACTCGTCCCAGACAACACCGAGTGCTGCCTTGGCAACGCCGGGGAAAAGCTGGCTCGCCTTCCGTATCCCCGTATCCCCGAATCCCCGAATCGACTTTTCGTTTCGGCTCACGCAGCGACCTACGCAATATGCCTCAGTTTTGGTCGGAGGGGGTGGTTGAAATGGGTTGTGACAGGACATGGAAAAGGGCCCTTAGCCTTGACGAGTATGTGTGGCGGCAAAGACGCATACATATACATATGAACACACAATTTTACAAAAAAAAATCAAGGGGAAGCTCCACAACACTCCACTTCGATACAATGTTTGTGGGTTTTTTCTTCGAATCCCAAAATCCCACTCTACGTCTTGATTATGCGTGAGTTTTGTTGTTCAGTGTCTTTGGCATGCATTATTAATATGGAAAGGAAAGGAAAGGAATCAATAATGATGACGCTACCATTTTGGGGACAAGAAACCAACAAGAACCAGAATAATGGAGGTGGTTGCCATTGCGGATGCTAGTTGGTGGAACAAGCACTTGCAGATTCGAGTTGAAATATTAGGACTTAAGGAGGTGTTCTTAAGCTTGTAGCTAACTATAAGTCACTGCCAAGCCATTACTAACTAAATCCATTAGCCAATACGCCTTAGGGACAACTCCAAAGTGGACAATAAGACATTTAGTTTTCAAAAGAAACAACTCTCATTTTCTATAGCATACTTATCAGCTTCTGGAATGGAAATCCTAAACCAAGAAGGTAGACCACCTAGCCGGAAATTCCTTTACCTTAGTTGGTTAGTTTTGATACCAAAAAGTACTACCTGCTTCCCCACAAAGGCAATTTTTAATAGCCAACTAATTGCAAAGAAACCGCAGGTGAGAAACAATAAGTTGGCTGTTGTTAAAAGCCGAAAAGCCAACAAAAGAAATGGCCCAGAGGCTGAAAGAACTTAACACGGTTTCCATCCCACATCGCACATCGCACACATTGCAACAATTAACCGTTTGTGGCAGCAGTAGCTGCGTGGGATTGCCTATCTCTAGCCAGCATTGGACTGGGTCAAGACCCAAGGAATTCAAGTGGCCACAAGGATATACAAGGATAGTACGAAATGAAAGGAAGGAAGGAAGCTAGCATAGATGTGAAGGAAGGATGTGTGTCAAGACATTTCTCTTGTGGCTGGAGCAATTAAAACGCAGCCGACTGCCGCCACACGTTCTTCCGTTTAATTGGCCCAAAGTCTGAGGCGACATCATTAGGCAAATGACCAAAAAGCCTAACAATGCGTGGGTTTTCTTCTCTGTTATAGAGTGTTTCTTTTTTCTAATTGTTCATTCTCGAACAACAAAGCCCCATTATCGATCTGATTCAAATGATTCACATTCTGCGGTCGCCGCAAACTTGTTGCTGTCGCCTTGATTGCCGAATTGCCAGCAATTAGCATTTGCCGCGGCTAAATTTATGCAAATTTGTAACTTTTCCGTATTTTGGATGAATGAACTGTGAACTGAAACCGGTTTCGAGATGATCCCCCGAGATGATGAGGATGCGAGTGCAATCTCTCACAGCAGCCCCAAGGAATCCAAACAAGCTCCAATTACGGGTGAGTCTGAAGGGGGGAAATTCATAAATTCTGTCTTAATGGCAAAGCAGCTGTCTGTCCAAAAATTAATAAATTATTTAATTAAATTATTATAGGCCTATTAGGAAATTTATTCAAAAAAAAAAAAACTATAAAACATTTTATTAATTCCCTCGAGATACTTTCACTTTTGACTTGCAAGTTGCCACAAATCTGTCAATGTCCCCCCCGGTCTGGTATCTGGTTTTTGGTTGTTAATGTGCCGCTGTTAACGCATTCTCGGATCTCTGGTTACAAATTCCGATTTAATTAAAGCCACACGCGCGCTTCGAGACAAAAATGCGCCAGAAACGCGTCATTTGGAAACGCCACCGAGCCGGAACCTCCATTATCTTGGGGCTAGTGCACATATATCTCCAAACTTGAGTCTCTTATTTCGTGAACTTCTCCTGCAGTCCCATTATCATACACTATGATTGCAAAAAAGCAAAAAAAAAAAATAAAAACAAAATCCAAGGTTCTTTTTTTGATAGAAACACGCGTCTCATGTTAAGGTAGTCGAAACATATTCGGGCCCCGGGCCCCGAACTCTCCTATCTTATCGCGCCCCAAAACTCCCAGCGAGTGGGTGGAGTGCCACGCCAAACAAAACAACCACAAGAATGTTTAATAATAATAATAATAGAATAAATAATAATAATAATTATCTCAGACATTCAAGAGCTGCAGGCAAAAGGAATATGTAGGTATTCCACTTAATAACTAAACACCCATACCCCTAAAGGCCCATTTCAATTGGATTTTTTTTTTTTTGGCACCTACACCATCGCACGTGTGATAAGGGAAACTCTCGCTCTCGTTGGCAGATAGTGGAATGAAAGCAGCGTTAGATTGCGAATATTTCTTATCACTACAGCGGGCGGTTCAGCAAAATTTTTGGTAAAAAAAAAAAAATTGCCAACTTGAATTATTTTAGCTGATATGGATGGCTTTTCCCAATGGGAGAGATGGTATTTATAAGAAAGTGCATATACTATTTAATAATTCTAATCAAGATACCAAGTTTAAGGGAAGATCTCCATTGAATTGAATGTTTAGAGAAGCTCTAAGGGGGGGGGTCTCTTAATCGCACTTAATCTCAAGTGGCCAAGTCCAAAATCTATCCCGATTATAGCCGGAATCTGAATTGCTTTGTTTGTTAGGCTCCTGGTGTGTATGTAGGTGTCAAAGTGCATTGCACGCACTGACTAGGCTAGTACTACTGGAGTCTATACTGGGGGGAATGGGGAACTGGGGGCGATAACAGAATTTATAATTTCAATTGCGGTTTCTCAATTCACTTCTGAAACAAAGTGCAGACAATTATCAGCAGAATTCGCCAATCGGGGAGTCAGTCAGACCGTCAGTCAGTACTGTTAGTCCGGTCATAAAACTACATGCAAAAGAACTTGATAGCAGGAGGGAAAATGGATTTGAACTTCGCTGGAAGCGTACGTATAGTACTCCCTTCTCTCTCGCACCCGGTACGGCTGATAGGAAAGGTTCTTATCACTCCGACGGCCAGTACCTACATACATACATACATCAGCATATGCATACATATGCGTATATGCGAGGTATATGCGTACTGGAATGTTGTGTTCGCGAAAAGCTTTCCAGAAATGAAGTTGAAACATCGAACGATATCAATTGGAAAGGAATGGAAAGGGAAGGGAATCAAATGCAAGTGAGCCACAGCACCAAAGACGAGGGATATCTCTTCTCGGGAACCCTATCGCTGCGGTTCGGCCATCGATGACGTCAGTTTTCCACTATCTGGTTAACCCTTTAAAAGCCCAGTTAGAGGGGGTAATTGTAGGCCATTATTAATCAAAAAACATGAAGGAATTCGCAGAAAAATCGAATCTGTTAATAGCGAAAAACTAATTCAAGAAATTAATGAGTAATCGGAGTAGGATTGAAGCTTTATTTATTTTAGTTGTGGAGCTTGAGTTTGTAGATCTTTTTAAAAAAGAAGGGTCTTCTACAAGAAACCATAGTCTGCTTTTCGAAAAAATTTGTCCAAAGTATCCAATAACTATGATCATAGTAGGATCCTCCGTTTCTTAAAATATTTTAAAATACAAGATAGTATCTCTGCTTTCAATCAGAAGTATCTGCCTCAAGAAAGCAGCCTTTTTTCCCTAAAAGTTAGGAGGTTCTTGGCTCTTAAGAGGCATTTTCTAAAGCAAAAAATAGAGCCTTTTTTTAAAAAAAAAGGTATCAAAAGTACGACTCTCAATAAGAACTATCTGTGTCAAGAAAGCATAGTCTTCTTTAATATATAATAGGATCTCTGCTCTCAATACTAACTATCTGCTTTAAAAAACCGATCCTTTTTTCCGGTAAAGGTTTTTCAATAATAAAATAGACCCTTCACTGATCCCCAATTTTTGGACAAATCTTCTTGCATACTTACGAGTTCTGGCTAATTCAGATGGACTTTTATTTAAATCGTTATTTATTAAAAGTTTCTGTAACAAACATCACCGTGAAATGCAGTCAGTCATAATTGGTTGTTTGCTTTTATGTTTTTTATTTTTATTTTATTTATTTTTTTTGGTAAATCCAGATAAAAGTGATATTTGTAAATATAAACAAAGTGCGCGAGGGCGGACGTACGACGTACGGCACACGACTTGCAGCAAATAAAAGTTAAAAATAACAATTTATAATTGTCCGTCGGCTATGGTTATTTTTGTGATTTTGTTAATTTATTTTTGGAAATAGATGGTTGATTTTGTTTATATTTGTTTGGAGTAAAAATAAATTATTGCGCGAAGAGGGGCGACAGCAGTGAGCTAACATAATTCGCGTAGCGTGTTTTTTTTTTTGTTTTTTTTCGTCTCTCGAAGAGCAGATCGAAGATCGAGTATTACCCAGAATCAAATCGGCCGGAATCTAATATATATATTGCATATATAGATGTATAAAATCAAACGCTAAACGCTAAACGGTAAACGGTAAACGCGCACGGCAAACTGCAAGTTTCCCAAACCGAAAAACTGAAGAAGCGGCGCTGCGGACGCGTACAAACGTACTGACGGATACGTCGACGTTGACGTCGTAACGCGAGGCACGAATCGCACGGATACAACTACACTCGCTCTTTTGACTCACACTCAGGCACAGGCTCAGATACTCAACCAGACACACACACACACACACACACAGACACTCAGATACGCGATGGCTCGCCTTTGTTTTTGCCTTTTTTTGTAACAAAATATCACACACACACACACCCACACACACAATGAGCGAGCGAGTGAAAGTGCGCAGGCGCCGGACTTGAGTTCTGACTCGCAACGAAAGCAAGAGTACCTATCAGCCTCATTTGGGTGGGAGCGGCGAGAGCTGAGCGAAATGAGCGCCTGCCGGTGGGGGCGAGAGAGGTGAGTGTGTGATGGTGTGCCTGGCAGCGTGTGTGGGGGTCAAACAAAAACATATGTGCTGTACCCCACACGCACACACGCACGCACTCGCACTCACACACAGGATCAATCAGCCGTTCGTTCTGAGAGCCCCACAGCCCAGAAGAGGAGAGAACACAGAGCCCCAGAGCCACAGCAACAGTTACATTTTACCCGGGCTCCTTCGATTTTTTTTTTTCACCACGAGCTTTTTGTCCCGCTCTAGCGCCCACTCATAAATGTTAATTATTTCCCCGCTGCCAGCCTGCCAAGCTGCCTGGCTGCCAGCGTTGCCCCATGCATTGCCTCCACTGCTGCTGTGTATCGGTATCTGCCACCACCACCCTCTCCCCACCCACTGACTGGTTCTTTTTTTTTTTGTGTGTGTATTTTATTTATTTGCCTCTCGTGCCACAACACATTGTCCTTGCTCCTGCTCCTGCTCCTGTTCCTGCTGCCTCGTCCTGCTCCCTCTACCTCCCACCGCCCACTATTAGTTTGCTGCCCGACGCAGCTTAATAAAAACTTTGTTGACCTGCGTTTGGCAGCAGCGCCAGAAAAAAAGAAAACAGTGGAATTATAAACCCGAACGAAACTGAAACGGAAACGGAAGGAACAGAGACAGGAGAGGGAGTGGGAGTAGGAGTGAGAGTGGGAGGAGTATAGGGGGCCTTGGAAAGTGGTCCTTGGATACTAGGGTCTGTGGTAACCATTCATTGTTTCTGCTCGACTGATGATTGCCTATTCAGACCGAGGTAGTTACATGCCAGAAAGCTGAATTCAATTTCCAAATGATAGGACTCTAGGGGTCGAGGGGAATCCCGATCTGGGGGGGCTCGGGGCTGGGCTATCGACGATTGTCCCGTTAAGTAGGATATTATTTGTGTTAAACACGCTTTATTAGGCCCGAATAACCGACAAGCTAAACGGTGGAAGCACCCACCATAGCTTTCCACAAAGGTCACAGAGGGGAAAGGTTGAATTCGGGTCAAAGTAGGAAGCTATAGTATCTTACTACTCATAACTGTATGTATATAACCAGATGCTACAGATCTTGCCAAAAAGGAATTCTGTTAAAGTCACGCAGTGCCCATACCCGCGATCGCATTACCCGTTTAATGGTTTACTGCCTCTCAGGGGCGCCACAATGTTGCAAGCGCTGCCTGCATATGTACATAGTCTGAGTTGCAGTTGGGATGTCCTTGTGAATTCTGGATTTCTGGATTTCTACGACTTGGGTGCGACAACTGCCAACTGCAAACAGTCGTCGACAGTCTTAATTCAATAAACGCCGACTGCGTCGATTTGCGCATGCCCCTGGGATGGAAATACGGCTGCACGTTGCATATGGTACATGCAACACATGTGCAACATACGGCATCTGCAGTGGCTTGGTCTGCAGTGGCTGGGCATGGCCTGGCGTTGCAGGGGTTTCGTCTTCCACCAAAGATGACTACTTCTTGAAGGCACCCCAAGCCAAGTCGCTACCACGTGGAACATCACCCCCATACCCTCCGAGTCTTCCCTCTGATTTTAAGACTCGGTGTAGGTAATTTCATAAATCTCATTGAAATTGCCTTCCCCGGGCCCGGGCATTGCCTCAAGTAGGCACTCCCGGACTTTAGATACTCCTGCGAGCACATTTTTAATTGCTTGCCGAGATTTGGAGATTGAAAAATGCCCACGGTGAGATCAATTATGCAAATGCCCCACCCCCGCCCGGAACCGGGTATTGGAAGACAAAGCTCCAGTAATTAGGACTACACCGGCAAGGCAAGGGTGGAGTGTCGCCATTAGCATTCCCTAATTACATTGCGATTGCTAGACTTAGGCGGGCTTATGCTCGCATGTCCTTCCACCGACTTTCTCCCTTTAGAGAGAAATGGTGAGTGCAATTTAAATGTAATTAAACGCCAGCTCAAGGATTCCCCGAAAAAGGACAAGTAGCCGCACGTAATCAAATCAATTTCGGGGATTCCAACTCGATGGGGAGGAACGCCTACGCTGCTGCTGCTTCCCAGCTTGTCAGTTTGAATAATTCCACCTTAACACGTGTGCCGGGGTGTGGGGGGGAGGGAGGCTGGCAGGTGTAAGTGAAAGCATTTCTCTGTTTGCATGACGGATAAGTTCCCATTGATGCTTAACCCTCCAATGGCTGTTTTTTATCTGAAATGGTAATGCGAATAATCTATAAAGGTTCTATAGGGCTAGAATGGTCTATGGTATATGATATTATAAGGTATTATTATAATAGATCTGATCTAGGACTCATATATAAAGGGTTAACCCTTTGGAGTGGTCTCTCTAATTGGCTTTGACACTCCTGATAGTTACAATTAGCTTGGTTTAAGCAGCACTAAGCTCACTTCCAGGACTCAGGACTCCGGACCTGACCTGCAATCCACAATACCTGTCACACTCAGGATGGGGCAGAGCGGCACATATTTTATGCGCAAACTTTTTTGGGGCAAGGACACGCTCTAAAAGGGTTTATAATTGAAACGGACGGCAAATAGTCGACACGGCAGCCAGCTCGAATTAGGCCTCAGCTCAGTTCATTCATAATATAGAAGGAGCCACTTCATTGATAGATAGGATGGATGTCCCGAGAAGAGTCTGCTAAACAGCGACATTGAGAAAGGTAATCACTTTGGAATCATGCTGGATGTTGAATGCTGAATGTTGAATGCCACGCGGTGATGTGCGTGGGCGTAGGTGGCTTATCAATCACCTTTATTTATGTATCCACCGGCAGTGGAAAAATACTACAAAGTTTAGTGGGAGGACAACCTCAATGAATGCAATACTTCATGGAATTTCTAGCCTTAAAGCTCAATCTCTGTTAAATTTTAGACTAAAACCTCCTAGAAACCTAGACAGCCGGGCATCCGGTTTAAGGAGAGGAGGACTCTCGAGACAAGGCCGACAGGCGGACACACGAAAACTGACAACTCGCCAGCAACACCGCAATAAAGAAAAGTGTCCTCTATACACACACGCTCCCGCAGCCTCAAAAGAAAAGAACCCCGGGGGGCAGTAGGCGGTGGGTGGTGTGTGGTGGGCGGCTGATAAGTTTAATACAATTTTCCACCCACAGAACTTGAGTTGGGACCACCACACAACGCCACACAATATTTCCCTAATGTCTTTATTATGTTCCATCAAGTGTAAATATTTTCCTTGCATACAATCACAATCACAGACACACGTACTAATACGTGGCACGTGCTTCACGTGGAAAACAAAACAGGACTCCCAGGCCTCCCACCACCCACTGGATGCTAAGTAGGCCTCGCTTTTGGGGACTCTGCCACCATCTTTTGGTAAAAAATCGCATCAAGTCCCAAATGACAATTAGAAAAATAGGGAGTTTCTCGATATTGAGAAATGTCTCCAGCGATGGATGGAGCTCAGTTCAGTGCACACGCGTTTAACTTTAACCTTTCGAGTGGCAGAGTAGTGCGGCCCCCCCAGCTGCCACATGTGCGGCATACCCCCTGCAGAACCAAAATAACAAAAAACTCAAAAACTGATGCTCCAAGAGAGGGTTTAGAGTTGAAAGGATACCATAAATCTTGTAAGCTGAGGAGCACATGGGGCTCAACAAGTGACATTCCTGGGTGCTTCGCCAGAAGACGAGCTTTCAAGCAGAAGGCGATGATGTGTTGGTTATATTCGACTTCAAAAGTATCTTTTTTTCCAAAAATTTTAAGAACCAAAATCTCCTTAAAACAGCTGTTCCGCATTCTCTTCTCTAAGGATAACAGAAAGATCGAAGGGATTAGGTTTCGAATCTCAATGGGCAGAGTTCCTCGACTGCTGAGATACAGCTTCCGGGTTATGTCTCGGCCCAGGAAGAGCTACAACCAGAGCCACTTGAGCCATCTACTGGGGAACCTCTGTATCTGTATCTGAGAGGTGTTTTTTTGTGTTTCTCTGCGCGGGCCTGCAACCAAATTTTATTGTCTTTCCCACCTAAAGCGAAGTGAAGCAGCAGTGGCAACCATAAGGCATGAGGCACATCCATGTGGATGCAGCACTTGAAAAAAAAACAAAAGATTGAATATTTTGGGAACTAAAGGAAGGCCCTTTATTTAAAAAGTAATTTCTCTCTCTGTAGCTTCTGCACACACACCCATCTATATGTTTGTGCAAGTACTGGCTGTGTTTCCTTTGATTTGTTTCTTATTGGGCCCCCGAACTACAACACATCCCGCCCAGAGGCGTAACCCCGGGCCGGGAAACTCAGGAGAACTCCCTTTACGTCTACGCCACTGAACCATCACTGATGCACACAGACACAGAGACAGGCCCAGAGGTTCACCGACACGCATCTCTGCCGCACGTAAATGTTATTGACGTGGAAAGGCATCGGACTGGCAGACAGGCGGACCGTCGCCCAGG